TACATACACTTGTTTTGACTTCTAGTAAGTGAGCATAACTTATTTTATGTATGCAAGGGGTCAAAGAGCACAAGGCGGAGTCACATTATTATCTTGAGATCAGCAGGTCAGCACTTTGTTTGTTAGTACTTTGTGGACTGCTCTCGTATGACTAAAAGGCAAATGAGTCACCAAATCCCCTTGGCCAACTTCCTTTGATTTCAACTGACACATTTAAAATGTCTGGACTGTTCCAAATTTAGTTCAGAGGTGGTCTTTGAGAGCTTTGGTTTTGCCATAATGTCTGTAAGGGAAAGTATAGAGCACTGTAATGATGTCATTCATTTGGACACTGAGTCATGATTTTTTTATTTTATTTCCGATGGGACATCTGACATCATGTTTGTTTGAACAAGAAGGTGAACACTGCTTTAACCACAATCCCTTTAGGCAGGTTTCCCCTGTTTCAGTCTTTATGCTAAGCTAAGATAACCAGTTGCCTGCTGTGTTTTTATTATGTACAGAAATGAGTGATATCAATCATTTAATCTAACTCTTAGCAGGAAAACCTATGAGAAAGTGGCATTTACCAAAGTGTTGCACTATTGTTTCAATTGAAAATGAAAGCTTTTTGTAGAAACAGTGACAAAAGTAGTGTTTTGGTATTAACACAGAAATCTAGGTATATTAGCACCGGAAACAAAGGACTTTTAAACTTTGGTACAATTCAACTTCAGCATTAGCTTCATAATACCGCAATGAAAATATCTTAGCTGCTGGATTTCTGTTTCACGTGCAAGTTCAACCTGCAAAACACATTTGACACATCATGCATTACCACCCAGCGTGCACAACTTCCTTCTCTTCAGTTATTATAGTTTTTTGTGGTAACTTAGCAACAATTAATATTTACTGCAGTAACAGAAGCCACATGACATCCCCTGTGGCAGAGTATGCCCTAACTGCTTATGACCACAATTCCTCCCTTGCGCCATGTCCTCTGTATTCTCTCTCTAAACATCATTATGTTGACTTTCCAACAGTCAGCCAGTTGATAATACGATTAGAGGAGGTAATATATGTACAGGTAAAGGGGATGTTCTTTGCTGGACAAAAATTATTTATTTGATTTTGCACAATTTCAATGGTTTTTTACATTCAAGTTCATCAGTTGTATGAGGGCAAATGGTAAAAAAACAAACATGCATCTTTATTTAAAGTGAGAGTTTCTAAATAAATATAGAGTCTTGGAGGAATAATTTGAACCTCAAACCTGCCCAATAGTTGAAGCAATGCTAGCTTTAACACTATGTGATTCACATGGGCTTATTCCGAACTGGGTTGTGAACTCATTTTGTGTTAAATCTAACACCAGTGTGTGAGGCAGTAAGTGGCTGCGCTGAGCTGCAGTCATTTCTAAATCAGGTCCCAGATTGCAGATATTGCGATACACAATGTGCTCTGTCTGTCTGTGTCTCTGTCCTCCTCCTGTTCATCTCTGTGTTTCCCTTCACTCGTTGTAGACATTCACAGACATGCAACCTGTCTATGCCCTCCATCGTGCCAGCTCAGCGTAACTGTAAAATGTGATGCCTGACAGGTTAACTCACTCAGAAGCTTACAGGTGCTCAGGTGATTGGTAGACGTAGTTTTTTTTTTGTCACTGGACTCTATGGGCATCTGTCAAGAATACTTTACAGTTCATAACAAGCACACAGACCAGTGAAAAAACTGTAATCTGTGACCACACATTATCCACACGATCTCACAACCCAAAAGTGAGTAATGTCCACCAACTGTAGGGTGACCAGAAACACGGGACAGTCCAGAATTACGAGCAGTTGTCCCGACTCCTGTCCTGTTTGTCCTGAAAAGTAGACTAAACATGAGTATGATTTGGTTATAGCCTTTGATTGAATGTTGATCGCTGTGAAACATTCTGTTGGTATTGCGCACAGATGGGCATGCTCTGGGTATCTATTGGCTGCAGCTGTGACTGCAGTGGGGAGAGTGGGGGTATTTGAGCCTGAGCCACCCCTTGTTTCTCGGCAACCATAGACAAATTGGGTCATGTGATTTTTGTGTCCCTTATTTTACTCACTGTGTGATGGAGAGAGGCCCGTAGAATAAGTGATTGGCACATTTAAGATTAAAAAGTATTTTTTTTAAAGGAGTCATGATTCTTGTGTCTAAACAATCACAGACAAGTTTCAATAAATCTCACACATGTGTTAGTGCTTGAGGAAGTTACAGTATGAGGCTGTATACTGTTAGCATGATGTCATCTCTAAACTGCTTGATGACACAAGTTTGTTAAAATGGCAGGGGCAGGGTCATGATGAGTCAAAAGACCTGGGGGAAGTTATTTTACTGTAATTCTGCATTCTTACATTTTATCACAGAAAGAATCTCTCAAAGCTCAACTTTTTTTTTTGGAAAGTGATAATTTGAAAACTGTTTATTTTAGATCCAAAGTGATTATTCCCAGGAATGCAGCACAAGAAGTAAAAACTGGCTGAACTCCTCCTGTCTCCCCTATTTGGACACAAGGTTGTTATAGCCACAAAGTAATGAGTGTGTGCATGCTCTTTTTCTCTTTTTGTTTTCTAGTGTAGATGAAGATAGTGGAAGTTGCTAGGACAGAGGAAGTGTAGCTACAGGCAGCTACGGAAAAGGAGAGATCTGATACAGGCCCCGCACTGTGACATGAATAAAATAAAGTAAATTGTATGTAACAGAAAAACATGATTTACACACTGTTACATAAAACACAGTCACTGTGTGTTTGTCTTAATGACAGATGGTTGACAGACATAAATAATTCATCTTAGAGTTGATTTTTGACTTTCATACTTTTACTGTTAGTTGACGCTGAGTGTAATGTACTGGAGGCCCTGCCCTGTCCTGAAGTTCACCTGTTCTCATCTGGTCACCCTGACCAACTGGCTTGGTTAGACCTGACTGGTGAGTGCTGCAGCACCATACAATGACATGGGTTGGATGTGAAACTAACTGCCAGAACTCTGCTGCATCACTGATGTCAGTGGGGTGGAGGCTCATTATTCACACCGCCTGAAAGGACTGGGCTGGGCTCTGCAGCACACTGGGCTCCACCTAGAGAACGCTGCATACCTCAAATATACTGAACAAAAAGGAGTTTATTTAGTACACTGTTTGTCAGTTATCCTTCATCACAAGTGGAGCAGAGATTATACTTGAAGAGTAGTATGTTTAGGTTGTGCTTCTACTGCTTAGGCTTGTTAAATAACTTAATTAATGCTTTTTCATTTTGCAAATGCACTTTTGCCGTATGTCATTATTATTATAAGAGATCAAGTGACACTGCCCTTGTCCCCATGATAAAGCTATATCCTGTTAATAAGGGAGAGAGCTAGTAACACCCATCCAGCATGCTCCCTTTTGCTGTCAAAATCTCTACAGTGCAAAGATGCTTGATTACTGCATAATAAAAATTATTGCTAATTTGACTTAAAGAACGGGTAAATCAAATATTTGTTGAGCTGTTTTCTGTAAAATCATGGAGCTTGTTGTAGGTGGCTCAGCGGTTAGCACTGTTGCCTTACAATGTAAAGGTCCAAGGTTGAAGGACGTATTGAGTAGGAGACATTCCTTCTGTAAAAAAGAGTAAGACTCCTTTAGACAGATAAGATAGGTTTGTTTAACAAATTGAGTAGTCTCAAAGATGGTTGGTTACCTCAGCAGATTAATGTTTTATGTTTCAACTCAAAGACTGAGGGAATTTGTCTGGGGTATGGATACAATCTGTTTCCAGTTATGAATTGCGATATTTGAAGACATAACATTTGAACTACACCCCATTAACCTTTGAAAGAAATCTTAGTATCTGTGACTAAGCTGTGTGTCAGTTGCTGCTCTGTCCAGCAGTGAGAGGTCATCTGAGTCAGCTATTAGCAGTGTGCGATACTGCCGGGCTTGTGCTGCTTATTATAATGCTTATTGTGAAACACATGTAACCCACTGGTAACTTTTTGAATAAACTTTATTGGCATTGTCAAATAAGGCAACAAACTTTTCTTAATAGCCACAGTAAAAGTGATGGCCTTTGTGTTTTATTATCCACAGTACAGATGGAAACGGTGGTGGAATGTTAATTAAAAAACATTACAAATACAGGCTTTATTTGTAAACTGTATGATAGACGTTAACAATACAACAGTAGGAATGGCTCTTTAAACTAAAGCATGGGAAAAGCTAATATACTATATATAAATTAGGACACAGTCATTTAAAAATAGACTAAATAATACCTTTTTATTAGAGATAATACATGAACACACAGTGACTACATTCTGCTGGTTCAATTGTCTTCACTGGTTAGGTGTTTCCTGAGTACAGAAAAGACAGACAAGAGCATCCGCCACAGAAACTCAAATCTTATCAAGAGGAAATCTAAGACAAAGATCGCAACACCTCTAACACTGTGTGAGGAAGCACGTGATGTGTGAGTGTGGAAAAAAAAGGCCTCGGTCGACATCGTTGGCTTTCTCTAAGGACTGAATTATCATTTTACACTGTGTGACGTCAGCTGAAGAGTAACTTGTGAATCCTGCATTTGTTGTCACTGTTGTCGGTCGCTGGGACAATCGCAACCATAATAGGCTGTCTGGTTGCTCGCTGCAGTCACGCCCTTCAGTCTGGAATGTAGCTCTTAAGTCAACCACCTCTGTCATGAGGCATGGTGGATGTGTTTGTGGGCATTTTGCAGCATTACATTACTCATAAATGTGTTTTATCTTTTGCCTCTTAATCTCTGTCTTTTCCTGTCTCTGACTTTGTCTTGAAAAACCCAGTTCGGAGCGTACAGCGTGTTCTAGTTTCCTTTCAGAAATGTGTGGAATGTTTTTGTTTTCCACAAATGTTAGCTCTTGTGAAACTGAGATGTTGCTCGGTGTGAATCTTGAAATGATTATGACGGTGTGATGGTGTCTTGTCAGATTTGTTTACTACACATGCATAACTTTCTCTCTCTCTCTCTTTAGTCTCAGCCTAGCCAGGCCCCACCCAAACCGGCAGCTCCGGTCTCCACTGTGAAGGCTACACAGTTTGAGGTATGAAACATTCCTCTTTAACAGCCTTTAACCTCATCTCTCTCTCTCTCTCTCTCTCTCTCTCTCTCTCTCTCTCTCTCTCTCTCTCTCTCTCTCTCTCTGAAGAAACTTCCCAACTTCCTATGTTCAGTCAGTGGATTGTTGTCTGACCTCTGACCTGCCCATTATGTGGACTATGTGCAGCATTTTCTTTCCTGTGTTTCCTGTGTTTTAAGTAAAGTGAGGGAAAAGGTTTAACACTGTCCTCTGAGAAGTAACACACACAAAGGAAAACGTTCCTTTTCCTTCCATTCAAGCACAAGAGAGGAAACACCCAGTCAGTGGAAAACAGTTTAACCCCTTCATGCTGTTCTCAAATGATGGATAAAAGTGGTTGTCCATTCATGTTCAGTTATTTATTCATTTGTTTATTTGATTTATTCTTTATTTAATCAGACAGTCTCACTGAGATTAGATTTTCCATGAGAGACCCAAAACAAAAAACATTCATAAAAACACAATCTGCAAACAGAAACAACTACACAAAAAACAAGGTATTGGTAACGGTTACAAGAATCACACAAACAGATAATAAACCTTTCAAGGGGAATGTAAAAAGGCACATAGTGCCTGAACTAGCTCTGCCAACATTAGTGGATCGATGAGGAATACCAAAGGTGAAGTACTGTAGTTGCTGGTTTGTGTACTGTAGTCTGTAGATTTAAATGAGAGAAGAGATGGGAGTTAGTTTAGAAGCTTCAACAGTAGAGCTTTTTAGATGAATAACATTGGATAGGTATTTCTTCTTGACTATAATGAAGTCCATCCCATGGTTTTACGGTTGGCAGGAGACAAAAATTTTATACAAGAAGCCTAGTTTGATTTTTAATTTCAAATGTTGAACGATAGTCTGTCAATCAAAATTACTAAGTATTTGTATGACTCAGCAAGAGCAATATGGGTGCCATATAAATTTTAATGGCAGGATAATCAGTTTAACTGGTGGAGGTGGAGAATACCATGTCCTGAAACTAGTCTGTGATTAAGGAGTGCTACAAGCGTCAAAGGCAGACGAGTCAGGGCCTGGGCCATATAAAATGCTATAATCAGTAAAAAAAAAAAAAAAGGTAGGTATAGTTCAAGGGGTTTTAATAAACAAACAAAAGGCAAGCTCACTTGCAGACGGAGTGGCTGAATCTAAAATCCAAAATAACACAGTTCAAGAAAACAAAGGTGATCCAACAGAATAATCCAGAACAAGTGTAAATCCAAAAACTGACAGAGTACAAGCAAGACAAGACTAAGCAGACACCGCACAGTAGCACAAGGTAATGACCCGACAAAGACAAGACAGAAACACCAGGTATATATATATATATACATGGGGACTAACGAGCAGGCGGGAGCAACACAGGTGACAGACATGAGACCAATGAGAGACAGGCAGGCAGGGAGAGAGCAGGGGAAAACAGAGACATTACTGAGGTAACACACACAAGCAGACCCCGATCACAACAATACTAACACCAACAGGGAAAACAGACTGAGGATGGGATAGAACAGGACTCATAGCAGACATGGGTAGAATACAGGGGTACACCGACTAACTATGACAGATGCTGGACACAGGGCAATAGACAGGACAGAACACATGTAACCAAAATACCAGACAAGAATCTAACTTCAGACCATAACAGAAACCCATGTAAACAAACAAACACTGACCAACTATAACACAGAGATCATAATAGACAGAACCTAGATGAGAACAATACAGAGCAGACGAAAATAATGCAGACGAGAACTAGAAGCAAATACTACGACATGAACTAAGGCACAGGACTGGGAACAAAGACATGGAACCAAAACAGACTAAATAACTGACACTGAACCGACAAAATAATAAACTCAGAGAAACTCAGGACAGGATCGTGACAGTATTTTGCACAAGCAGTATTTTATTAAGTGTCTGTCCAGTGTAGAGAAAGGCTTTGGTGGGATATTTAAATTTTGAGAGTGGACGTGCAGAAAAAAGGAGCACAACTAATTAAAATAGTGCTGGTTTTAAACTTACAGAGTTATTTGTAGACTCAGTCACTGACCTTCCGCTATAAGGGACTCGTGTTAGCAGCTGACCTTGGTGCCCCTTTGCCATAGTGGGGTACAGCTGCTCATGTTTCACTGGCAGTGTATATGAGCAGTGCAGCGCAGCAGTGTATGTGCATACAGTGGGGAGTATATCATATTGAGCCACAGAAACAGCCAGTATGTGTGGTGCATCAATAAACGCGATCTAAGGTGTACCTATTTTTTTTCCAACTTAAAGGAGTACTCAGCTGATTTAATATTGCACTTCTATAAAGTTGGGGTACTCACAAAAGACAAATTTAAAATGAATGTTCAGAATCCAAGCAGCAGAGGAAAGATAAAGATATTCTGACTTTTAGTCTCTAGAGTTGACCTTATGTGGGCCATTTCATTTCCACTTTTGTCTGGCTTGCTAATGCTGGCTATAATAAGTACAAGTAAGAAGTCGTGGTCCTGATTGATACTTTTCTCAAAGTTGGGAGCACACGTCCACATTTTAGGGGGGTAACCAGACACCACCACATCCACCACAGATATCAGATTAAAAAGACAATCTTCTGCACAAAGTTAAGTTACTTAATTAAATTATAACTAGCACAACTAGCTTACTGTTTAGTTGCAGCAGCTCAGTGTTTCTAAGTAAATAGCGATTGATGTTTGTCAGACTGCAGTAGAAGAAAGCCTATTTCTTTTCTTTCAGCTTTGCCAGTCCTTCGCACTGTGCATTATATTATAAAACTGTTTGCTAAAACGTAGGCGCAATGTGATCACAAGGAGCAGATGTCAATCAATACAACATGACACATTCCCACATCTGGTGCAGACAGTTAAAAGACAAAATAACTGGAGTCAGAGTACTTTCTTGTTGCTGAAACGCCTAAAGTGAATAGGCCATGTTTTAAAACCACTACATTTCCCATAACGCAACCAATAGCTTAATTTCATTAGACTCTCCATGCCTGGCAAACACCCACCTATTTCAAACACAATGCCCCCACTTTGTATCACAGGCTGTCAGTTACACATTTGTGTGTGTATAAACCCAAGCCGAGATAACCTTGATGATGTCATGGTGATGTCAATAAATTTGATTTTGTCATGAAATACATTGGGAAACAAACATACTGTCTATAGGCAGCATCCAGTTAGCTGTATTGAAGGTAGATGATGGACTTTTCCACACCTGGTGTGTTGCAGAAGGCATCATCAGGATCTGCCATGGCTACAAAGCCTGGGCTGGTTTCCACAGCAACAGGCGGAGCCACAGGAAGTGGCATCACAGCAGGAGGATATGCTTCAGTTGGGACAGCAGGAAAAGAGGCACCTAAAAGCCAACCAGAGGTAGACAGAGTCTGGATGCCTAAATAAAAGTGGAGGGGGCTTTTGGGTGTTTTGGGGCGACGTAACGTGAACCACTTTCTTCTACACTCTGAGTGTGTGCTCATCATAAGGCTGCTCACGCCTCGTCTTCACTGGCTTCATCTTCTTTTCATCTTGCAAAACCTCCTTGTATGCGTTGTCTCGCTGGCTCAGCCATCCAAACCTCTCCACCTTTTAGCATGCATCAGAAGCCAAACACGTGCTGTATCACGTTAACGAGCTCTTGTGTCATCACGCTTGGGATGAACAGCTGATTTCATGAATAACCTTCTCCTTGGCTCCTTGGTTTGTAGACTAACACTACGCCAGCAGGTGCTACTGCTATTGACATATCGTCCACTGGGGCTACTATTGTTGACATGACATCAGCTGGGGCAATGGTCGGACGTAAAGAAATGTCAAAAGTAATGGTGTCATGATGATGAAAGCGCTTGTCTGTGCTTGTGTATTTACAATACTGCTGACCATTCCCCTAAAGTTTTAATTGAGCTGATTCTTACATTTCGGATACAGTATGACAGCTTCCTGAATACAACAAGGTTTATTCAACCGTTCTCTGCTTCCCGAATTGCCATTACATATCTCAGGCATGTTTCAAGGCTCCCGTTTGCCCCCTGGGAGGCAGAAAATCAATTTAGGGAGTTTGGAAAAAGGTCAGCAGTACTGTAAAGTATACAATTTTGGTGTAAAGCATGAAAAAGCACCAGCATTTAACCATACACACTGATCAATGTTCAGATTAGTGTCAATACACTTGAGTGATTAATAACTTTTATTTTTGCGTTCGTCTGACCCACTTGGCAGATCTGAGCATGGATTATTGTACATTTTCTGTCTTTGTTTTCATTAACACAATAACATTTAACAATTGTTAAAATGTTGTCCACGTCTCTTGTCACTATGTTTACTGGCTATAAAAGTGCTTGTGTTATTGAGTAATCACATGGCTACATGTTTGTAGACTGCACCTGTGTCCCAAGTCAAAGCAGCAGCTACAGGTCCTTCTCCTGCTGCTGGATCACCTGAAGTGTCTAAGGTAGACTCGACTGCTACATGCTTCTCAGACTCTTTATTTCCTCCATGACTCCCTCGAGGTGTACTTTTTGAGGCTTCCTTCAGTTGTTGCTATATTTCTTTCTTTGTGCAACACGTTTGTGTCTCAGAGTCTATTCAGGTTTTGCTACTGTCTTACTTGCTCGCTTTGGGAATTTCTTTTAAAACAAGTCACTACTTTGGCCCTCTCTTTTTTACTTTGGTGATGACCAGCTGGAAAGTATAAAGGATATTTGTTCTTTACTCTGCAGCCCTTTTGCTCAGCATGCCTGCACTTGTAGTTGTATGCGCAAGCAGTGCACACCTGTGAACTTGCAACACCACACATACATCAGAAATCTGAGTCAACCAGAGGAAAGAAATGGAGTGGAGAGGACTATCATTTGTTGGTTTGTCTTCTTGCCATTGTTTCATTGTACATGCCTGCTGCCACTTGGTTGGTGGAACATTTCCTCTGCTCAAGTCGGCCCTCTTCTTCGTTTGTTTGGGACACACATTACTGACTTTGTGCATGTGCAGCGGACCTATAATTTTACTTGACATGTACTCGGCCTATAATAGATTCAAATTCGTTGTATTTTAGAGTGCCACTGCCACCACAACTGTCAAAGCTGATGTGCCTAAAGTTGATCCTGCTAAAACATCAAAGCCAGCTGCAGCAGCCAAGGCTGCGGCTGGAAATGTGTCTGTGCAGGGGAAGAAAGAAGAAGCTAAACTGACACAAACAAAGGTAGACGATCCTGAAACCAACGGAGATGGACTCTGCCTGATACTTTCCTCCTGTTTATTACCCTGTCTATAGACTATTAATGAATATGATGTGTATATTGTCATGGTGCTGAATAAGCTGGACCTGTGGAGATTTTTTATTGGTATCTGGTATTTGGGGAAATGTCCTGGTTTAAGAATATTATCAAATCTCACATTACATATTCTTTTTGGAATTATATTACCATGACAAAAAGTGGTGTCTGTTAGTCTGTGTACTGATAATGGATCTGTGTTGCAGGTGCAGGTGGAGGTTCCTTCCACAGCAGCTAAAGTAGCCAAAGAGGTAAAAACTTGCTTAAGTAGTATGGGTTTGCTTTGAAAAGCATGCTGCTTGCTCTAGTGTGCTGAGTTGTGTTGCATGTGCAGGCACCTGCGGTGGATCCATTAGATGCCCTGGCCAGCATACTACCTTCAGCTGACCCTGTTGCACCCCAACAGCCTGTATACACCAGGCCAGAGGTCATAGAGGTACAGCACAGCCACAGTTGACATGCATGTGTTTGTGTGTGTGTTTTGCATTGAGCTGCAGCATGAATCTGGTGTGTGTAACTGTGTATTGCATGTGTCACAGCATGAAATTACCCCTGTGAAGGGTCAGAAGTGTGGAGAAAGAGACGACACGCTGCCGCCAGGCTACAGATTTCAAGACATGGTCAGTTCTCCGGAGTCTCCTCCTATTCGTCCCGTCTTCTGATTCACTAATTGGTGTTTAATTACTACTGAAATCTGACTTCCTAAACCTGCTCAGATTTAGAATCTGGTTTATTTATTTTTTTATCAGATAATAAATAGTAACAGATTAAAGTTAAGGCTATTTTATTTAGTCAAAGTTGTCCCAAATGATTGGGACCCTCAGAGAAACCCATGAATCATATTGGCAAACATATCGAAACATAGCCCTAGAGACAGCTGTCTCAAAACCTGGATACACAAAACCAAAACTATCTGCATGGCCAGATAGCACTAGAACGAAATGAGAGACCATGTGGGGGATTGTTTTATAAATTTCGGCGACCTGAGTCTATTTATTATTGTTTCTTCTAGGCTCCAGCTCCTGCAGATGTTAAACCCAAGGATGTCCCTGTAAGTAAACCTTTCTCAACTCGCATGTAGTGGGGTTACAACCATCTGCATTCTGCTAATGTTGTTACAGATACAGATCAGACAGAGACTCACTTTTTGTTAACTTTTTCCAACACGTGTAAGCAACTGGATACACAGTCAGATTACACACACATTCAAGAAGTGTTTCCACTGTATGTCCTGGTTCCTCTAGAGTGGGGGATGTTGAATTGCTCTGGTGGGTGTCGTCTCAGCAAACACACACGCACACAGACATGCATTCACTCACTAATAAATACTTTGATATCCACCCATATGTAGGTTACTTACTTGCTTACTTTACTCACCCTCGACACACCCACATTTGCATCATAGCCTACTCCTACTTTGTCATCTTGTCTTGCAAAAGGGACTTCCACCCACATATTTCCAGTGTGAGTTTTGTGTTTTTAGTATAGATATTGTATCATATTTGAGCTAAGTTAAAGCAGTGTTGTGTGTCAAATGTGTATTTTAAGAGAGTTTATCTGTGGGTTTTTTTTGTTTCCATGGAATGCGGAGGGTGTGTCTGTACTTTTCCTTCACTATTGGTATATGCAGTCTGGTTTGCATTATTTTCCCCTTTTTTGTCTTTCACTTGGTCAGTCATGCCCTCTAGTGGAGGATTATGTGGCCATTATGGAACATAACTTGGATTTGGATTATTAGTTTTCAAAAATCTGATCATGTCTAGATATTGTCTTGTTATCTAGTGTTGATGCATGCTCTGTTTTTCATCTCAGAAACCACTGAGCACAGATGAAGCCCTGGACTCTCTTACAGCTGGTTTGATGACTTCTACTGCTCCAGCTACACCCAAAAAGCAAGAGGTCAGAGTCTTCAAGCATGCAGCACTGAGCTGCTAACACATGCTCCACCTTTACAGCCCATGGACCCTCTTGACAAAAGTCCATATTAAAATTCCCACTTTGGCATGTCTGTTGTAGACAGCATCAGCCCTGAATGTACACTTAAATTCTTGTATGAAATTGAAGGCATAGCTTTGTGCTTTATCAGTAGTCTAACAAATTCCCATCTTCTTTCTTTCTATATGAAATATCTCAAAAAAGGTCCATGATGTTAGTGTCAGTGCCTCATCTGCTGGCCCTGCTAACTTTGCACCACCTCCGGGAAAGGTAAAGTAAAGCTTTCAAGTCTCAGCAATGTCATTATAATGGCATCTGACTGAAGGAGCTAAGAATTGTATTGTCTAATGTCGTGTCTCTGTTGTAGACATCTCAACCTCCTGCTGACAAGAAAGCCAAGATGGAGAAAAATGATTTCTCTCTGACAGCTGGACTTCCCTCTGCTCCTGCCACGGTACAGCAAGCTCACACCTTCCTTTCTGTCCACTGACTTATAATTTACAGAGACACTTCATGAGATGTAACTTAACTTGAACAAAATTACATTAAACTTGAGTGTAGTCTCTGTTGGTTGTTGCAGAAAGCGGCTCCCCCTGTGGCTGCTCCTGCTGATAAAAAAGCTAAGGCTGGATCAGGTACCAAAGTGGATACCGCGCCCAAGACCGATGATGTGAGATTTACATGAGTGACCTATTCTTTGTACCCATGTCCCTGTCCTATCCTATCTTATTATTATTTCTGAAGTCAAACAATATGTGATTAGTAGATTGTCTCCTGACTCTCCTGTTCTCTCCTCAGGGCGGCGCTCTGTCTCTGGATGCTCTTAGTGCTCTCAGCGACACGTTGGCAGGACCAAAACCAAAACCTGAACCTCCTAAAGTCAGACCAGAGGACATTGTCTCGGTAGGAGTTCAGACAGTCTTTTCCTCATACATACATAGTCATACAGACTATCTACATTAAAGACACACAGTGTACATGTTTATAATAGATGTAGCACCAGTTTCAGTTCAAGGCAATTGTTTGGGCTAAACTTGAATATTACTGTCCTGCTGACAACATCTTTTGTTGGCCTATTAGCTGCATTTGCATTTAATCTCCACCCAGAAACAATCGCTGAAAAATGCACCACCAGTCTTATTTTCTGTTCTTTTCCTTTTTATAGGAGAACAAACTCAAGGAGACGAAGGGTGTGTTTGTAGGAGAGAGGGAAGACTCGCTTCCTCCAGGGTACAGGTTTAAAGAGGACAAACTCAAAAATCTGCCTGCTCCTGAACCTGTGGTGAGACTGGGACAAATTCACTTTAAGGGTCTTAAAATTAAATGTAAGGGTGTTTATCTCATGCAAATTATGTACACATTTGGGCCAGGCAATATGGCCTATTAAATATATTGCAATATTTTTAGAGTATAATGCGATACACAATATATATCTCAATATACAAATTCTGTAAATTACTGTAAAATAAAATAACATATTGTACCTGTTTGGTATCAGCATACACGGAAGAAGTGGACGTAGCCACCATGATGTAACCCATTGGTTTGTGGACTACTGTTTTGAAGCCTCGAGTTTGGCATTTTGGATATTTGGAATCAGACACCGGACGTGACCATATTTGGATGAGTGGCGCTAGCGAGCTTGGTTAGGTGCATCTGTAATTCATGTTTAAGGGGTTATATGTAGTTTTTCCAATGAAATCACTTATTAATAAATCATGTTGAAAAACTCAGTCGCACACAGACATCATGACACACGCTGCTATAATAAGTGGAGTTCCCTCTATATGGTTGTGGTATCTTTTATATCCACTGAGGATAAAAGTCCATAATTCATTTGGACAAATTGTCACTTCCCTGTTTTCTCTGTTGTTTGCTACACCCACTATTCTTTTTTTAATGTGAAGGTATGGGGTTGGGATAAAGCTACGCGCGCTCCCGAGCCTCTCTCCCACTACAGCGACAACACCGCAGCTAACGACATGCAGTACACCAACATCACAAAATGTTACTGAAAAGCAGCAGGCGAGCTAATGATGTAGCATGTCGGTTAAATTACAGTAAATGTACCGTGATCATGAAACGAGCATGGATTAGTTAAAACTCAAGCTGATAAAATATTACTGTAACGTTGCAGTTGGAGTTTACATGAATTTCTAGCATGTTGTGTGAAGCTCTCTCCCTGTCTGTCTATAGCCACTGTCACAAAGTGTTTTTTTCCCTGGAGTATTGTACCAATATGCAGCTCACTGCACTGTATGAAAGGTATCTGCCTCTGAAACCGGGTACATTAAAGTAACAGAGCCTGAACATGTCTGTGTGAAAAACCACAGCTGCATGCCGGTGTTGCCGCTTTTATTGTGGAATCTCTTTATGAAAGCGGTTGTGTTTCGGATAATGTTCGCTAATGAGTTCAAGCAAGCAAGCAAGCAAGCGTACGAGCACACGCCTGGTTGCAATCTTAGAACCGCACCTCTAGTGGCCACTAAAAATGCCATAATGCCCCTTTTAACTGTGATATGACCTCGGATGCTTATTTGGCTAGCAAAAAACAGGCTGAAAACAAAATGTAGCGTTACTTAACACAAAAAACAAACAGCCGACTCCAAATCAACGCCTTACTGTAATAATAGTACTTTTCACAGTAACTAGTAGTGTAACGGATTACTTTTCCAAAACAGTAATATTATTACAGTTCCAAGTAACGCTGAATTACTGTGTTACTGAAAGCACCATCCTTGGCGTGACTGCGCAACTGTGCTGTGTTGTTTAAGTCAGCTGTTAGCCAAAAAGCTAAAGGAAGAAAGGAGAACAAGAGGAACAAGAGAGAGAGGCGTTCTTTCCACAGCTGTAAGCTGCTACTGCCATAATTGTTTCAGGATGCAAAGAACATTGTTGTCTATTGTAAACTCTGTGCGACTAGCAAAAAGCTTTCAACCACAAACAGTTCTACATTTATTTATTAAAGCATCTGCTAAAGCAGCACAGCAACATGAAACTTACAGAAAGAAACTCCCGCAGCTACTGCCAGTGATGCTCTGACTCGTTGGGAAAGAGTGGCCTTAAGCAACATAATGTTTTGAGATCATAGACTACTAATTAGTAAAGTGCTTACTGAGGTAAAAAATCAGGTGAGAAGTAGGCTCATTTTGCCTTTAAGTCCAATGCAAGCTGACTTCTTTTTGCAACCAGTGGAGTTGCCCCCTGCTGGCCGTTAGAAAGAATGCAGGTTTAAGGCACTTCCGCATTGGCTTCACTTCGTCCGAGCCTTCGCCTTTAAGGAGATGGTGGACAGAGTCAAGCGGGTTTATTGTGACAGCGAGTCTTCCCCGGTGTGTGTGTGAGGGGTAGTTACGTTACTTTAGTCAGTCATAAAGTGTGTAGATGAGCACAGGTTGCAGTATAATAGTTAGTGAAAGGCTGTGTTTGCTGCCACAGAAAATAAATAAAAACTCCCTGTTTACGTTACTACGGCGACTTACAGCAGAGTTGTGGTCCCGGGACGGTGAAAAGCTAACGTTAGCTAGTTACAAGTCAGGCTAAAGTAAATTAAAATAGCCTAAAACCTCCAAAAAAACTTTCGGAGCTGGAAGCCACGGTTAGAGTAACTAACGTTAGTGCGAACAGACGATTGATCGCGTTTTGTTTTGGGATTTAAAGTCACAGCGACAGTTAGCTGCTAACTAGCTAACGTTAACTGTTGGGCCGTTGCTCACCCTCAGCAGTGACCAGCGGAAGCAATGAATACTCTAAAATGTTGATATTTCATCTGCTATATATCGCATTTATTCATATTCTAGTGTATTGCTATATTGGCCAGCCCTAGTACACATGTGAAATAAACACTACACAAGGGTCTACATGTTACTGATTGATCCCCAACTCTACTCCTGCAGCCCACCATGGGGGATGCTGAGGCTCTTGACATTTTGTCTGGAGACTTCATGACTCCTTCAGCTGCTTCTGTTGTCCAGGCTCCCGTTGTCACCCCCCCAGCTCCTGCTGCACAGGTACACTGTGGTTATATCACTGGGAATAATACAGAGATACTCTATCTGTTATCTCTTCAAATGTTGCTGTCTCTGTTGCTTGTTGTAGAAAGCCCCTGCAGTCCCTCCTGTGGCTGTGTGTCCTGCTCCTCCTGCTGATAAAAAAGCCAAGATGGAAGCTGGACTTTCTGCTTCTACGGCCAAGGTACAGCTAGCTCACACCTCATTTCCCTGCCAGCTTCTCTTGGCTGGTCAAATGTCTACTAATGTTGAAAAACTCACAGTTGCACACAGACATCATGACACACGCTGCTACAATTAGTGGAGTTCCCTCTATATGGTTGTGGTTTGTTTAATATCCACTGAGGATAAAAGTCCATAGTTCATTTGGACATCATAGAAAAGGTTCTTATGACTTGGCTCATAATCATCATATTCAGACTTTTTCTAAAGTATCAAAGTCGGTATGAATTTAAATACTGATATGTTTGTGGAATAAACAGACAGATCTACAGATGGTAGCTTTGGTTTCCATCTCTGCTGTATTCATTCAAATATGAGCCATTAATTGATTTCAAGAAGTGACACTATTTAGAAAATGCTGATACTGTAAGCTATTTTAAAGATTTTTCTTAAGATAAAAAGACACTGTAAGCGTAGCAACATTTACATATTAAACTTCTTTTAATGTTTTGTGATCACATTACAGAGTGTAACCCTTCAATCAATTCAGTCATTATTGTAAAGTTTAATGTCTTTTTGGTGTAGAAGGTTGAATCCTCTGCAGTTCCCCCTGTGGCTGTGTGTCCTGCTCCTCCTGCCGTTAAGAAAGCTGCTGCTGGAAAGGACACCACTGAAACCAAGCCCAAGACTGATCAGGTGAGATACAGGAAATGTACACAGTTTTCTGTGGGAGAGACCTTTTATTTCAGTTTATAAACTATAAATGCACGACAGATCAGTAGAGCACAATCTCTTGTTCTCTGCTCAGGGCGGCTCTCTGTCTCTGGATGCTCTCAGTGCTCTTGGAGACACGTTGGCAGCACCGGAACCAAAACCTGAACCCCCTAAAGTCAGACCTGGAGACACCGTCTCGGTAGGAACACTTACTGGTACAGAATTCACAGCTTTTGATGGCAGAATTCTTTCTGCTGTTGGTAGTACAATGTAACGTTACAAGGTACAAGCTGCGAGGTTGTAGTCCCTTCATGCTACACACACAGAACTTAACAGGTAATTAAATGTATATTAAAATATGCTAACATTTAAAATAAATAAAATAAAACAAAAGGCTGTATAGTTATTTATATACACATTTATGTAATAACATAGCATAGCATTTTTGGAGAATGGAAACAGCTCAGAACATTGACCACCCACTGAGTGCTTAATCCGGGATGTTGATGGACCTGGGGCCGTATTACAGAAACTTCCTAACCTACAGATCCTATCCTAACTGCTTGGTAACCATGGTAATAAGGGTTAGGAACTGATTTAGGAAAAAGGCCATTACAGATTAACAGTTCCTAAGTCAATGTTCCTTTCCTAACTAAAGATAGGAAAAGTCTATTACAGAAGCATCCTAACTTCGTGAAATCTTAAATAAACTCTCCTAACTTTAAGATAACTGTTAAGCTGTCCTAAGTTTTACTTTTCCACCAGGTAGTGTTTGCTAAATAGTTTAATCCACATGGCTGCTCTTTTATTGCTTTTACAAAATCAACAAAATGGCGGGACTTAATTGATTCTACCGATGTGTTTGATGACAAAACACACAAGCAGTTAGTAGAAAGGCTGTAGGCGATGTAACACTGGATAATGTCTCATTATATAACATAATATAAAGGGTTGATGTAACAAAAGTATCCAAATGCAAGTCTTTGATAGAAGGAGATCGTTTAAGACAAGAAATACATGAAAAACATTTATTATTATTATTATTTTTTACCTTAATTATTAACTTTCCCAAGAAGAGTACGGGTTTCTGCCGGGGTCAATGAGGGAGCACAGGTGGCGCCACCACCGGTTTTACTCTGCTCTTTGGACACAACAGTTGCCCATGTCTTCGTATTACACGTAAATGGACTAATTTTCTTTTTAACAGCATCAACGCTCCGCTGGATGTGTGGGGTAGACTGTGTCCGCTATTTTAGCCCACTCTCTTATCTTTAATCTCCCAACATAAGAGTTACGTGAATTTGGATTAGAGAAAAGCATCGTCGGTTGCTAGGTAACAGACATAAAAGTTAACTTAATTTGGATTGAGTATTTAGGATTTCCTAACCTGAGATAAGATAGGATTCCTAAAGTTAGTTAGGATTTGCTTCTGTAATACCAAATTGGGGAAAATCCTATCTTAGACTCTTCCTATCTTAACTTAAGACTTAAGATAGGAACTTTATATAATACGGCCTCAGGTCTCTGTGAAGATGTGGGCTTAGCAGTCTCTGATTTCCGTTGCTTGGCCTGCATGAGTCCGATTTTGTCCAGACTGGAACTTTAGGAGCAGCGTTAAGTCAAAGCTGGGCCAACATGGCTCCTATCGCGGCTCTCTTTCCTCTCCTCTGAACAATCACCTCACTCGTCGTGGTGCCTGGTCCAGTTGATGGGGGTCGGGTGGATTGTGGTCCGCTGCTCTCTTTAATCCAAAAACCCTGTCTTCATTTTCCAGTGGCTGTATTTCTGTCAAACACGTGTTTCAGAAATAAAGCCGGGGGGAAAAAAACAGATGAAAAACAAAAGTGTAGTGAAGTTTGAAGGAGCTACAAGCTGCAGCTTCTACAAGAGCTGCCGGTTGCCATAGCGGTTGCCATAACATAACCTGTTACCATAGCAAGTGGTTTCCATAGAAATTCAACTCATTGGTCTGCAGCAAGATGATCATATAGTAGCATATCATAGCATTTGTGTTTGAGCTTTTCACAGAAGCACTCACCAGGCATAATCACCACCTGTCTTTTTATAGGAGGACAAACACAAGAAGACAAAGGGTGTGCTCGTAGGAGAGAGGGAGGACACACTTCCTCCGGGCTACAGGTTTAAAGAGGACGATCTCAAAAAGCTGCCTGCTCCAAAACCTGAGGTGAGACCGGGACAAATTCACTTTAACTCTCTTACAATGGCACTTAAAGGTGTTTAGCTCTTACAAATGTGAAATGAACACTAACTATATGTTACTATGTTACTGATTGATCAATTCTCTCTCCTTCTGCAGCCCACCATGGGTGAGGGTGAGGCTCTGGACATTTTGTCTGGAGACTTCATGACCTCCTCCGTGGCCCCTGCGGTCCAGGCTCCTGTTGTCTGCCCCCCAGGTCCTGCTGCAAAGGTACACTGCAGATCTGTTACTGGTCCCTTTAGCCAAAATCTGCAGAGTAATGTAGAGATAAATCATTCCAGCAGATGAAAAATCATATAAACAGAAACAGTAGTGATGGCATTTTGTGTGATACTCATTTAATGTTGAGCATGTTTAGTGTTAGCATATTATATGTGTCACTGTCTTCATATTCTCATTTCTCTCTCGTTTCATAGGTGTTAAAGTTAAAATTTTACATTTTGAGAAATACGCTTATTTTCGTCCTTGCTGAGAGTTAAATGAAAGGATCTATACCATTAATAACTGTAGGGTAAATATGAAGCTACAGCCGGTTAGCTTAGCATAGCAGAAAAAAATGTAACCAGGGCTTTGTCCTGGTTGTGTCTAAAGGTTAAAATGAATCTGCTTTCCAGCACCTCTGAAGCTCGTTAGGTGCTACAAGGGGTTATGTGCCTTTGGACACAGCCAGGCTAGCTGTTTCCTTCTGTTTCCAGTCTGTATGCTATGCTAAGCTAACTGTCTCTTGGCTTCATACTTGTTAAACAGTAAGATTGATATCGGTCTTCTTATATAACTCTCTGAAAGAAACCAAATAAGTGTATTTCCCAAAATGGTGAACTGTTCTTTGTTAAAATCAAGATGTTATGATTTTTTAAATTTTATTTCCTCAAGACAGCATGAATACAGTGTTCTCACTGAAAGCTGTTGTGTCTGTTTTTTTCTCAGACCAAAGTAGAGGATTTATCAGCTCTGGATGTGCTTTCTGGAGACTTTGTGGCTCCGACTAAAGCTTCTGGGGTTCAGGCACCTGTCCCTCCTTCCACCTTACCACAGGTACAGCTGTTGGTGTGTGTATGTTTGCACATCTGTGAAACATTTAGTCTTTCTATATCCATCCCCCCTTCTTTCTGCTCATTTCACCTGTTAAGACTAGCCTAAGCTTTGCTATTAACGCTGTCACAATAAACTTTAAACTTCCTCTCCTGTTCTCTCCTCAGGATGACTCTCTGTCTCTGGATGCGCTCAGTGCTCTCGGAGACACGTTGCCAGCACCAAAACAAAAACCCGAACCCCCCAAAGTCAGACCTGAGGACATCATCTCGGTATGACACACACACACACACACACACAGTTCACTCAACACATTGTTGTTTGGCTTCATCTACAACATTTTATTGCCTATCATGTGCTACCAAATCAATATTACATAAATGTGGAATGGATGGATTTGATATATAATAAAATTAGAATAAAGCTCTATCAATTTATAGAGAACCATGCAGGCACTTTGTCTGTTTCCATGTGTGTTTAGGAGGGTACAGAAAAACAGTGTGTGCACACTTGTAGTAAATAATGTTCCCACCAGGTAATGTTTCTTTTGTTTTTTTTTGCTTTCCTATATTGCTTCCATAGGAGGACAAACACAAGAAGACGAAGGGTGTGCTCGTAGGAGAGAGGGAGGACACACTTCCTCCGGGGTACAGGTTTAAAGAGGATGAACTCAAAAAGCTGCCTGCTCCAAAACCCGAGGTGAGACTGGGTCAAATTCACTTATAACCAATAAAAGCTGTTTTTTTATTACCAGAGCACAAAGTTTAGTTAAGCTGTTATGAAAAATATTGTCTACCTTATTTGCATTGATGAGGCAAATATCTCCCACATATTTCACCTTGAAACAGTGTTCCATGAATATAATTTAGACTCCTCATCATGTCCCTCCTCTCCTCCTCCTGCAGCCCACCATGGGCGATGGTGAGGCTCTGGATGCCTTGGCGGGAGACTTTGTTGCCGCCGCTGCTGCTCCGACAGTGAAGTCTGCTGCTTGTGTTCCCACAAAATCCGCCCCACAGGTAAACAAACCAGTGAAACAACGAGCCCTTTAGGACTGCGTAGACTCTCTTAAAAACCCTGCAGTAACTTTTTTTGTCTGTGTTTGTGCACTCAGCTGTCAGACGGAGACGACAGTGCCCTGCTTGCTCTGTCGGACACCTTGAAGGATATCACGCCCGCCCCTCAGCCCGCCCCAGTTCCTGTCAAAGACTTAGTCAAGGTAAGCCGGCGTGCTTCAAGAGCATGGCCAGCACTGGGAGAGAACATTTTTAATTTCAGCAAGCTCAGAAAAAGTCCGCCAGTCACTTCAGCTGACCTGGTTTGTACGGTTGTTGCAGGAGAAAAAGTTAGCTGAAGAGAGGGTGATTAAGATGGGAGAGAGAGACGACTCGCTGCCACCGGAGTATCGACCCACTGAGGAAAATCTTAAGGTAAACTGACATAAACTGACTCGACATTTGTGCGTTAGGTGCTTTACTATTGCAACATGTGACCCATAAGGATGCTTACTGACCCTGTAGGATTTTTTTCAAAAATGTTTCTATCATTGTGTCTTTCATTTTACAGAAAATGCCAGAAGCAAAGGCAAAAGCAGCTACACTACCCAAGGAGGTGAAAATGCACACACACTCACAGTATATGACAGTAGACAAACACGCAATGTTAATTAATATATACTGTATATATAAATAGCATGCAGATAGTTTGATTTCCTTTCATCTTGCAGTTGAGTATGGATGATACAACAGCTTTGGACCTGCTGTCCGGGGACTTCTCTGCTGCTTCCCAGCCTGCTGTGCCGGTCGCATCATCTGCAGCCACAACAAAGCTGGAACCTCCTGTGCTGGACTCAGAGCCCCTGAAGGTAGCACAGAAAATGAACTGATAACTGCCCTCATACCTCCTCCTTATAGAACACATTGGAGCCACAGTTAATCATTGACAGACGAGTCAAAATGTCTGCTGTGGAAAAAGGACTATGATGCTGTGTGGATTCCATTGTTATCATGTGTCTACAGCACACTTCCAAGAGATCACTTCAAACAAGCAATCAATTAGTGTTTCCATACTCTGATGTTGATTTCTTTGGATTTTCCGTTGATTCAGGTTTTAGATAGCACCCTTACCAACACTGAGGTTTTATAACAGCAAAGTATGGAACAGTATGTTGAGCAGTGCACCATGAAGTTAACAATTGAAAGTAACAAGCTCAATATTTATTTATGCAGAATTGTTTCAGATTCTAATTTCAACAACCATGTGCAGCTCTATGTGAATTCATTATGAGCAGATGGTGTTTAATACGTTTGTTGATCATTGGTTCATTTATTTGTTTTTTTACTCTTTGCCAGCCAATGTCCGGTCCTGCCCTGGATTCCCTGGCCAACAAACTGCTCCCAGACGCCCCAGAGTTCAAACCTAAGTCAGAAAAATCAAAGGTAAAAAGATCTGTGTGATTAGATTAGATTTCTAACAATGCTATGAATCATCTAAAGAGTCAAGTTCGTAGGAGTAAAAAAGTAACATACAAGGCACATTTACTAAGCGACTTATTCTGATTTATACTGCGCATATTTTTTCAGCTAACCTATTAATTACTATGACCAACTCATTTGTACAGTCACTACAGAAGGTGTCCAGTTGCCTCTGTTTTGTGATAAATAGCTTTAATTAAATTTGTGAGAGTAAGAGTGAAGCGTTGTAACTTCTTACAATCTTTCACTTAAGTTTAAAATATGTCTTTTAGCAGTTTGATAAATACAGGCCCAGATCTAAATCTTTGTAAAGCCTGACATCTTATGGTAAAAAACTGGTTACTGATTAAAGGCACTTCATACAGATGGTTAGTGATGTTACACACTTTTAGTTTTCATTGTTACATGGCGCCCTCTACAGGTTGTTTACTAGCACTAACTGTGTCAGTGGTCGTCTCCTCATGGAGCAACGTGGACTTGTTGAGGCTAACTAAGGTGTCAACTTTGTTACAGGGCAAGAGCAAGTCAAAGTCTAAAGTAAGCTAACTGCCTGCTGCACGAAAACCTACAAATGAAGTTGGATATGCACTGTAAATTTAAATGCAAATGACTTCAAATGAATCTGTGTGCTTATTAGTAAAAACATACTTGTATATCTCCACCGTGGAGCCTGAACTAAGCTGCATGCGATGCACTCTCCTACCTCTGCTTCATTAATTTCCCCCAATAATTACATAAAATTACTGCATGCAAAGGCGCTGCCTCTTCTTTTCCTATTATATCTTCTTTTTAAAAAATCTTTAACTTGTATTGCAGAAACACCATGCAGAGGACCCATCTGCTACTGACCAGCTAACGGCTCAGCTAAGTTCAGATGTTGTGCCAACATCTACAAAGAAGGGAGGCAAGAGCTAGACCACTGGGTAAGGTGTGATCTCATCTTTTGCACAATTTTACCTGATAAAAGATGTCACAAGCTCAACACGACCAGGATAAACGTCTTTCCACTGACCGCTGAATGTGTCACATATTGCAGGTTGTCTGTGCAGTTTGTCCTCCCGGCCACAGGGAGCGAGGGAGCTGCTCTCTGGAAAATGTTTCTATTTTTCTAAATCGTCAAGAATGTATACTGGATGAAAGACAAAGCTATGCATAACACACACACATAACACACACACACATACACAGCTCTGCGTGCAGCGGCTGTCTTGCTTTTTAAAACAAGATGGAGAATGAAAGAATGAGTGACGAACAGACAAAGAGAGGAAGAAAACGGTGGGTAAAGAGAGTTAAAGTTGGGCGTGCTGAGGGAAGGAAGGCGTTGCTCGTCAGAGTCCTGCATGTACACCCCAGCTGACAGTTTCTATTTTTCCAATGGCACTAATATCACAGCACGCAGGTTATCTAAGCCTGGTGCTGTGACGTTGGTTGGGGCAGTGGCGACTGTCGGCTTGCAGTACGCAGCGGGTGTATACTGTCGGGATGTTTGTGCAATCTTGATGACACAGAAAAGCCACGTCTTCTACCATGATGTGGTCAGATGCCATTAAGACACTAGTGTACAGCTTAGTTTGCTTATAGTTTGGACAACACATAGTTTACATTATTGAATATGTGGAGGATTTCCAGGAGGTGTTCAGCTTATTTCTGTATCCGATAGAGTGCCTTGCAAGTGGCTTTTACTTTCTGTAGAGAAATATCTGTCAAGAGAAAAAATATAATTACTGGTGTCCAGAAGTGGTTACAAGCTTTGTAAACTGCCCTTGTTTGTATACTGTAAAAAAAATATATAAGACAACACTGTATAATTTAGAAAGGGCTTCAAACTGTAAAGTCAGAAATCAATATAATTTCCCCAAGTTTTTTTTTTATGTCAGAGGTTTTGTGTGGGTATGAGTCAAATGATATGATGATATTTTTGATGTGGGAATACTAATTAAATAAATAAAAAAGTTGCTTTAGAGTCTGGTTTCAACGATTTGTGTCTAAAATGAGAAAGAGCAGAAGTGGCCTTGAGATGTGGAGAAAAGGCTAAATCACTGTTAAAGGTGCAAGGGAAATGTGTATGTGTTAAAGTGATCAGGAACAGAATCTCCTCTGAAAGTGTTTTTTCTCTGCTCCTGACTGAGGGGGGTTTTCACTCTGCATACAGTTGTAGCAGCCCACTTCCTTTTGACCCAGGGGCGGGGGCTTACTACAAAACAAATGTCTTTTGTTCTAACTTCATGTGAAACATATTTCAAATGAGTGGGTTTGATGTGTGGAAATTTTTTCTTATAAAATAAAGACAAATACAACTCCTTGCAGCAGAGAAAGAATGCTTGTCTGAGTGGTATTACATATTTTATTTTTGTTTACAATATTTCAAATTACAAAGATTCAGACAGTGGGATAATTCTAAATTACTGTACAACACAATTTACTGAACAAAGTTGTTATTCTTTACTTTGAAACTACACATTTCTAATTGCGAGGAATGATACTTTGGAGAAAAGCTCCAAAACAAGCTTAACGAAATGAAAATTAAGATCTAAAATTAAACATAAGAGATTTCTGTAACCTCCAGCTGGAAATTTTATTATCATTTTCTGTGGTTATACAATCTTTCTACAAGTTACGTTCTTGTTTAAATCACAAAACTAAAGGACAGTACAGTAATTAAGGTCAGAAAATATGCTGAAAAAAGTAAACAGTTTAAAATTGATTGTCAAAAGTACAAGTTGTAAATGACAATAAAATCTATACAGCAAAATTAATTATATACATTTGATTAGGAAAATTCAGAGTGCAAAATTTTAATATTCTCAGGACGTCAGTGGTTTTTATTATCAACATTCATGGGGATTGGATAAATAACACATTTCATATTGCGTTACTTGATTAAAAGTGTTTAATCTGAATGTAAAGAAAAGAGTTACTGACAGTCAAATCACAATATAGTTAAAACTGGATGTTGACAATGAGGAGCTTTGAAAATATTTGATGCACTGAACTGCTGAACCACTTTAAAAATTCTTTATACGTTCTGTCACGAGCAATGAGAACTTGTTGGCAGGAAAATATTCAACAGCGATGTCACTGATGTGTAAATAAGACCAACATTTTTTTCTCCAACAAGAACTTAACACTGTGAAATAACTGGCAGTTTAAAGAAATGTCAGTGCACCATTTAGATTAAACATATCTGCTGGTCTTCACTTGTTTTTCAGGAGCCGCCCGCGGCCTACAGAGAGATCAACAAGGTATTTCAAATAATAATAAGTAAGCTTAGTTCTGTGGTCACACTGGAATTAAAAATGAAACAGGGCTGTAGCTGCAACTGAGGACACTGAGGTCATGTCTTCCTTATTTTTGTGAGATTTGTTAGCAGTCTGGGAGGAATTATATTCTACATTTAAAAACAAATATGTGGTGAGCATGTAACAGGCTGATTTCAGTGTTAACTGACTTAATACTTTTAAATTTGTTTACGTCTACAACACATGTGAGACTACATTTGAATAATTCTGTATTTCTAAAACAATTTCTCTGAAGCGTGAAAAATGCTTTGAAACACACTATGAAACACTTGATTTTACGGACCTGTGATTTCCTATGAACGATACTGGAAAGAACTACGTAAGCTGGTGCTAATTGCAGGAAAAATAGATACAACACATTTGAATTTGAGTTTAGATAAGTTACAGAATCAGCTTTATTGGCCAAGAATGTGCACACATACAAGGACTATGCCTCCGGTTTTAAGTCGCTCGCAATGTTACACGCAGTTACGGAAAGATAAAAATATACAGCTAAAACAAGGACAACAAAACTGAACAAAGATAGGTGAAAATAAACAAAGAGCTAGTATGTATGACAAAATAATTTCCTTGAAATAGCTGCTTTATTTAATTGAAAAACTGAACAGCTAACTAATAAATATAAAGGAAAAAAGTTTTAGACGCTTTCATTTTGGTGTCAGGGTGGGGTTGGGTGGGGGTAGTTGCTCTAATGACCTCCGTATTTCTAAAATCTTGGCTACAGCCCTAAATAGAAAAACAGTATTAAAAAAAAAAAAAAAAATTACTTACTTTCTTTTGTGATGGTGTGGGCATCTCCGTGTCCTTATTTCTACAGCAGATCAAAAGTGTAAAACATGTTACAGTGAAATAAAAGTTTAAATCAAGAAAGGCTGAAAATTGGGTAAAGTTCATTTACTGACTGCATATAAAACATCGTACAACACAATGGCATGTGCCTGTCTACATGGAGGCTGTTCCTTTAGGTTTATGCTCTCAGATGGACTTACTATTGCAGTACAGGGTGGTGATGATGAGGAGTAGAAGGAGGAGGCCACAGCCGCCGGCCAGTGGGCCCAGTATGATTGAAGGACAAAACAGGGAAGGATTTGTTGTTCCTGCAAAGCATGTTCTCATTTACCACCCGTTTCTGCTCACAGCATCATAAATGTGAAGATGATAAGGACTGATTTGGAACATTTACCTTGCTTGTTATCGTTGTTACAAACACATGCTGTGGTAGATGTGCACTGACTTGGTTTGGCGGTGGTCCGTGTTGCTTCGGCCGGGACTTCAACTTTTTGTTAAGAGAGAGGAAAGGTGTGATGGGAAGTGTCACTGGAAAGCGTCCATCAGATCATCATTAGACCAAATTTATGAAGCAAAACTCACCTCCAACCAGCCGGGTTACTTCTCCGAATTTCAGTTCAGTTCCTTTGTGAAGCAAACCGCAGCTATAAATGCCGCTGTCACGAGCTTTGTTGAACGACTTCAGTGTTAGGATATTTTGTTTCATCTTTGAGTCCATAAACATATTAGAGAAAGAGTCTGTGGATTTCTTCAACATGCCGCTGGTGCTAAAAGATGCAATGAATTCCATCCCAGAGTTGTCCAGCACTCGAAACCAGATGATCATGGTTCCCATCTCACCAGGTTTACAGCTGATGTCAACAGGATCCCCTTCCTTTATGGTTTGGACAGCTCCTGAAGTTATTTCTAAAAGATGTAATAAAATGGGAGCAGTAATATCATTCACCACCCAAAAGCAAAACACCAGAGAAGATTCAGAGCTGCCACACGGCAGTGAATAGACATCAGTATCAGTAAAATGTAGGTTACACTTACTTTGATAAAACACCAGAATCACCAGGATCTGAAGCAATGTTTGGTCCATTTTAATCTCGCAGACGACAATAGCTGCTGAACACGTCTTTGTGGTGTTTGTTGGAGTCTGCTAGGAGATAATTCAGTGAGATATCAAACCCCGCCCAACCTGTAACCTTCTTCTCTGCTGTGTCAAATGGGATCATTGCAGCTGAGTGTTGCAGAGACCTCCTGCTGCACGGTCTGCAAGATGTTTGAAGTTGAGCCCACCAATCTGCACTTAACACCTCTGCCTCTGGTTTGAGGCATCGAACAGCAAAACTTCATCCTCAATATACTGACACACAAACGCAGCAGTGCACAGTAAGTAGGCTGACAAAGATGGGGCAGGAAGTGTAAGAAGTGCTTGCTGAACCAACTTTATTATATCTGTGTAGCAGCCCACTGTACGCATACACAACTCTACGCTGGTTCGGCACAAATCAAATGGAGAATTTCAAGGACAAATTTAGTTTTTATACCCAGTGCAGGTACGATCCTGCCCTGATGAAGTGCCCTCCAGCAAGAATCTCTACCAGCTGAGGCCCACTGCTCTGTCGTTAACTTTGATCTTTTAATTCCCTCCTGTGTTTGATGTGACTCAGAGAAGCTTTGGACTGATTGATTATATCCTTTAGAATTCCAAAAAATGACTTCTTGTGGCTTCAAATTAACACATCTGAACAGCGATAAAAGACAAGCATAGGAGCATAACGGTGACTGAGGGGTCTAATAAGATTGCAATTACATTCATGTCCCCTTTCTTCAGAAATATAGGCAAAAAATACCTCCAAAAAGAAAAGTAAAACAATATTACACCAAAGTAATGCCAGTAAAAGAACATAAAAGGTAAAGATCGCAATATGTCCTAAACAATGTGCACAGATCTCATATTCTGTCTGCAGAAATACTTGAAACAGTATTTGCTGTGACGTTTCTCACTGCTGCCTGCTCTTGTGTGAGATTTGGTTTGCTGGTTCAGAAGACAAACGGCAGAGTGAGGTAGGCCATCAAGACACGCTCTACACCTGAGTAGCTTTAAGTGGTCTCTCACATCCCTCTTTTCTCTTCTGTCCAGGCCTCCACCTGGCTGATCCTTATTCATATGTTATTCTATTTTAGCACAAGTTGATAATACATTTTATTTTGAACCTTTATTCATGTCTGAATTTCTGCCACTTAAGCCTGGGCCAGTTTGTGACAGGCTTACTGACTGTATTTTAGTAAGTAAAGTAGTAAATAGTTAAGAGCCAAGTTGTGCTGATAGTCTACATTGAAATAATCCTGTCAAGCTGTAGCATCACCTCTAATGGCATGCTAAATAAAAACATTTTCATCTCTACTGCACGGCTAACCACTAATGTCACACTCAGTTATATCATGCAGTGCGACGTCACTGCAGCAAGGTGAACATTTGAACCGCTAGAGGGCAGCAAAAGCAGGATGTAGAGCTCTGTCATTGTTTAACCAGTAAATCATTGAATTATGAGTCACAAGACTGCTACCACTCTGCTCTGTAAGGGCAGATTTTTAAAAGTGTGTTGCATTACTGACCACACTCAATCAGTGATGTCACAGCAGCTGTTTTACCTTTGGCAGGTGAAAAAAAAAGCTAATGGAAAAACACCTGCTGTGAGATGAGCGGACGGGGTGTGGCATGAAGCACAGCACGCTTGGATGTTTGATCTTACAGACAGTAGAGTGGCAGTTTAATGTTTTCAGTGGTCTATGGTCGTTTACAAAATGACCCTGAAATCAGGGTTATTTGAAATAAAATAATTTTGGCCTGGATCTGAAGACAACTTTTGTAGCAGAGAGCCTGTGTTGAGGTGTGACGTTTGAAAGACATGTGCATGTTCCAGGAATGGAGGGTCTAACAAAAGATTCTGAGCTGCATTACAAACAAGATCCTTGGGTTTTGTGGCTCAGCTCAGGCTCTGGTGCTTTAATTTTGATGATTGTTTTTGAAAATCCGTTAGTCCAACCTTTACGGTGGGTGGAATACTAAATTGTTGGAATACCCCTCTAATACTTTTATGTATGTACTTCCCATTGAATGGATTACATGACTAGGTTCAGATAACTGGCCTTTTTTTTTACACCTGTCTGATGGCTTGTGCCCCATGTAAAGCTGTAGTGAACTGCAAATCAATAGGGATGATGGCCAAAAATGTAAATGACCCAGGTTGTGAAACAGCAATTCCCATTAAAAGGGCATAGCTTCTACCCTATCACCAATTAAGTGTCATGTCACTTCATGCGAAAGCTTGTCTTACAGTGAAGTGAAACTTCCTTTAGATGAACTGAGAGAGCTTCAGTGGCTATGGCGCAACCCAGACCCCGTCCTATTTCCTGTTCAGTGATGGAAAGTAAATGCACCTATTTAGTAATGGGCAACAAGTGCTGACATTTTGCTCTATTGTGGGCGATTTATCTGTTCCATTGGTGGGAGGAGAGAGACTCACAGAGGGAGAATTAAATACAGCTGTGCTAGAGGGTATTTTTTACACATTATTTCCTCAAATACAGATAAGAATTAGTAACTTTGTTATTTTTTGTTATTTTATCAATTACTTTGACATTTATTTCCAATGAAGCCACAATGGAAACCGGGTTTAGGTTTTCAGTAAGCAGGGGATTCTGTTGATTGTTTGTGTCAGAGGGGAGACCCAGTCAAATCGCTCTATTAGCCCACTTCACCTTTCCATATCTCCGTTTCAGGTTTGAGTCACTCACAAACACACCTGCATGGGCTTCCCTATCTTAGTCACACAGGGGGTCTCCAACCTGAAACTCACATCTATCTTTGTGCGTGTGTGTGTGTGTGTGTGTGGACCAGGGGAAGCCAGTGACAAAGAGAGTCCCCTGTACAGTGGTACTGCATAACTTGACATTCAAATACAGTCAGAAGAGACGTTTTTTACATTCTGAAAATCGCTGCACCATCAATACCAGTAAATCAACATACCTGCTACTTTTTCACCAGTTCTTCGTTGCTTTGGTTCACCTGCTCACTGCTCTGTAGCTGTACTGGAAGTTCCAGGAAATATGGGGTCTAAAGTTGTGAAAAGGAAACCAAGAGCAACAAGAGGAGTAAGTAGGAATGGAAAACTTGGAAATTGAGGAACTGAGCAGATGAGCAGACTCAAATACATGTTTTCTCATCATTTATTGTGTTACTGAGACTTCCTGTCAGGACTGTATCTGTATGTGGAAAATGATTTCTGTATTTAAATTTACCTTTTTGGCTTTTCCTAAGAGAGCTGAAAGAGTGGTCAATAAATATATATAATTGAATGTACAAAATGTAACATGGAATAGGCGCAAAAGGTTTTAACCATTCACAAGTGAATTAATATGCTGCTGTGTATTCTTGTTGTGTCATTTAAATGTAAAACTGTTGCATTTTACAGAAATGATCACTAATATAGAGCATAATGTTTTTAATATGTATTATTTATGAAAGTGTCTGTTAGCACATATGCCTATATGTGTTAACAGACAGGGTATTTTGTATTATGACATCATTAAAATAAAAACAAATAACATTAAATTATTCTTCGGTTCAACATCTGCCACATATTGTACGCCTCTGTCTTAGGCGTCTCTGAGATAAATAGACTCAGATGGTGACAAAAGTTAAAGTTACAGCATACATGTGGTGAAACCGTCATGCCTTCAAATACAATTTAACGCTAATTTTAACAAAGAATGTAGTTAGTGCAGGGTGTAATATATAATACATTAGAAACTTTTAAACACGAATATAAATACACAGAGTGTTTCTTTTACACTTTTTGACAATAATAAAACAACTTAAAATAAAATTAAAATAAAAACAGACACACGTCGGTGTGTGGTATATATTTTTCAGAAGGTGCAGCCTACACTTTTACAGTGATACCTCTATTTGTAACCGTAAACAGCACAAATCTAACCTGTGTATTAGACGTCTAATCTACTGCTGGCATCTGCATTCATTCATTCGTTTGTTTCCTGGAACTGATGAATGTGAAAAAACGTTTACACAGAATGATAATGATGTACTATACATGCAGTTGCTAGTTAATTAGGTACATCTAGCTAAATCTGTTTAATACAACATCCCCATAATAAATCCAACATAAAGATTGTTTGGAGCTGTTGATTCAACATTATCATCGTCTTGGTCTTCTGTGGTGCTTGTGATTTGTATTGCTTTATACTGAGAGCTATAACAGTCATGTTGTCCCTCCAATAAGTGTAATTTCTCATTAAACTGGCAACTGAATGCTATCTCGGTCTACTTTTCTTTGACTGTATATGTGGTGCAACATATAGGCAAGAGTTTTAAATGAAAATGTGTTTCTACTTTTGTTTGATTTAGTTAATTTAACGCAACCAATGTTAGCTGTATTAAACAAATCTAGACTTGTACCTTTACTGCCCTTTGTTTTATTATTATTATATATTATATTATATATTATTTAAATCAATACACACACACACACACACATAATACTCATTCATTGTGTTTAAATGCATTTGGCAATGGAACTGTTTTATGCTGTATTATATCATATACAATAAAGCCCAGTGGAACAAAAAGCTGTCGTAAGTATTCGTTTAAGTTGTTTTTTTTCTTCTGTATTCTCATTTCAAAACTGTAACGCTCTTTCTGTCTTTCTACCTCTGTCTCTCTCTGTGTCTCTGTCAGTGCTTGTGGTTGGGTTTGTGGTATTTTTGTGGTCTTTTTGTTTCAGAGACTAGATGAAGAGCTCAAAGCTGAGCGAAGCGATAGCATCTCAGTGAACACGTCTCTGTCTCTTCTCTCTCTCCAGCACACAGGAAAGGGTCGTGCACACTCCCTGAGACCCCGAACAACCACCAACTAAGTTTCTTTACACTCCTCTATCGCACAGGTGTGCATGTGTGTTGCTTGTCTGTGTATGTGAAAGAGAGAGGGATAGAGAGAGACAGCAAGAGATGACTTCATAGCCAGTAATTTAAGATTATAACAATGAAGCTTGTTGGCACATACTGGAAGCAGTTCAATAGAAACTGAATGTGATGCAAGTTTACGCATCAAAGGTAAAGGGAGAAACCAAACCCTGTTACTCACCTACTCAACATCCGCCAAACACAATATTGACAATGGATGTACAACACCCACTTCCAAACCTCTTTTTTTTTTCTTCCATACACATGCAGAGAAAGCTGTTAGATGTATGATACAACTCTACAAACACTTTGAAACAGACACAGTGTTTGGCCTCTAGGTTATACCTGTATTATTCCTGCTGTTGCAAAAGTGGCCTTGAGCAAGGTGTTCATCAGCGTCATTTATCTCTGGGTAACTCTTTTCTTTTGGCACTTATCTGTATGTACAGGAGGCACTGAATAATTGTGAAAAAGAACATCTGTTTATTGATGGGTTTAATTACAGACATAATAACACTTTATTTATTTAATTACCTATTAAAGAAGCAAGTCACCACTTTAAATGATTGGAAATATACAATTTTATTGATGCTCACCAACAAATCAACTTGACAAGGCTGTTTTCTTCAAGATAGATGTGTGAACAAAATGCTTAAAAATACTGTGAAAGACAAAAACCCGAATAAATATGGAAGAGCGCCAAAAAGCAAATGAGCTAATACTATATTTCATTCAGCTGTTTTGAGGTGCTTTTTGTATGTAAATACGTGAATGAGGTTTGGGCTTACTGAAAAAAACACTGCTGTTTTGTCCTGATTTAATAATAACCTATAAAACCAAAGGTACTGATCACAAACATGCTGAATCGAAAAAGCACCTGCATAAATGATAATGTCATCTGCATATTGACTATTGACAAAAAAAAACTCAGAACTTGGTGGAGCACTGGGGCTATCTTGTAATATAACAAAAACCAGTCAATATATCACAATATGTTACATGTTTGCTGCTGCTGAAAACATAAAGCTCTTCTCTGACTGAGCACACACTGCATAGTACATAAACATTTCATGTTGTTGGCAGAGCAGATCTCCAGGAAGAATCATGTCCTTCATACTCCACTGGACATTGGCTCGAGTGAAACACTTCAGCCACTGCAATCACAGAAGGATGTTAGTGTGTATAAAAGACTTTTATTATTTATAAAGCATAAACAACCTCTGATTTTAGCATTGATTGTTCCAGTTTTACTTGATGATAACTATCACACATACAATAAATGTTTTACATATAAATATATTAAATGACACAAGGCACATACCTTGAGTGGAAAATAAGCTGTAGACACAGAGTTTTAGGTCATCTACCTCTTCCTTCACGAAGAAAAGCAAAAGAAAGAGATTAAGGTATCGGTTGAAATGAAAAATAACAGTTGTTTTCACCATTTCTAGTAATCTACTTACTTCACAAAGTGGTGTCGACATTTTTTGGGAAGTCCTATAAGCAAGACCATGTTCAAACAAGAAAAAACACTTCCATTATATTATTGTACATATACATTTCAAAGCTGTTTGAATACTTTGATAACCATTCGTGAGTGTAATCGCTGAATCGCTTGGCATGAGTCTCTGCAAAAGGTGTGCTTTTCCTGACCTGACTTCACATTATTTAAACCAGAGGACTACTCACGGCTGAAGTAGTACAGAATGCAGATGAGAGCTAGAGCCAGGGCCGCAATAAGTCCAACCAATGGCCACAGAATCAAGTAGCCGCAGCCATCTGGAGAAAACACACAACACATACACTACAGGGTTTAATTTATTACATTCACATCATCGCAATCTGGTACGGTGCACAAGATTTATACCGTTAAAATATATATATATGTATAGACCAAAGTGCTTATGTATCATGAGACACATGTAAAGTCAGATCTGTAAGCAGCAGCGCAACCAACAAATGCAGCACCGCCACAAACGTCCATACTCTAAGTGCTTTTTTCTTTAAGAAAAAATCCCTAATAACTTACCCTGTGAAGATGACTTCTTAGAGCAGCGACAGACTGAGTTGGCCGGTGGTTTGTTTTTTGTCTTAGGAGGTGGTGTTGGAGGGACCACTGTCAGAAAAAGACCAAACAACCACAAAGACAAGTGAAAACTAAACAGCTGTGATGGAAGAATGTAAAGCGTGTTTTAGGGGATATTAAAGGAGAACCCACGTTCCATCATAACAAAACAATCCTGACTTGGATCTCACCAACAAATTCTCTCTACAAATACTGTACATCACGTATGTTTGTTCGCCTGTGTGACTCTCCAGTACAGTCCTATAGGCTAGTGGACAGTTTTTCTTCAGATTTGTCTCTTTTCAGCTCAAAGGCAATCACATATTGATGAATAAAGTATTTTATCCGTGATGTGGAAAACGTTTTGCTATTTATTTTACCCTACATTATATCCTTGTTCATGTATGCAGGCAGCACCAGCCAGTTAAAAAGTGGTACTGAACTACAATCCAAAATAAATGGAAACTATAATAATTCCCATGCACACCTGTTACATGTATACATCTCTCAACAACAGCAGTCACTGTGTTGAGTGGTACTGAGATTGTTTGGAGTGTCCGCTAATTCAAGTGGTTGTATTAGACCGCCGCAATCAGGTAAGTGAGACAAACTATAAGACGCTTGATAAAGAATAAAATAAAAAGAAAGCAGACAGTGGAGAATAATATGGTAGGAAACATAAAAAAAGAGGATGTAGTGAGATGTTCCCTGAAGGAACTCAAACTGGGGATGCCGCAGTTACATGCTACATTGTGGTACAATCTTCATTGTATGATAAATTTTCAATTTTGTGTTATGTGTCATAATGCAACAGATTTAAATGCAGATGTTTTGTTCAGATCAGGAATTCAGTCGCATTTACTCCTCCACTTGCCACCTGAATTCGGACAGATGTCTTGAAACTCTCACAGTCGCCCAGTATTTAACTGCAGTAAATTAAGTGCTTGAGATTTAAGAATACAAACCTCCCGGCCGAAGATGAATCCCAGGCTTCCACATTTCTGTGTTTTTCCTGTCCTTGAGAACACATGAATAAATCCCTGTGTCCTCTTCTGTCACATTGATGATACGTAGCATAAAGGACGTGCTCTTCTTGCTAAATCTGAACCGTGCTTCTTCCACACCATTCGGATAAGTAGCACGGTCCGCATTGTTGCATTTGCCTAGGTACTGTAGTATCATCTGGCTGGAGATACTGCGGAACCAGTAGACAGAGTCACAGGAGATGTTAAGGCAGTCACACTCAATAACCTCTGTACTGTGGATTTTAGGATAAAGAACGTTGATGGCTTCTTGTTGCAGGATCTGGCTCGAACCTAGGAGTGGAAATAGAAGGATGTTTGAGAGTTTATCCTATTTAATAAACTTGTATCATCATTGCAACAGACACACACTTGTAGTACACTGAACAACTTCTACACGTCCAGTATGGGAGTTTAGGGTCATCGTTAACAGTTGGGGCTCTAAAACATGACAGCGGTGTCTAATACATGACAGCGATGTCATGTTTTAGACACCTTTTCTAAAAAGCTTAACTACAGTTTGAGGAACAGCTTTAAGCAATAGTGCACGCAAAAGCTCTCCTAGGTAACAAAATTAAGGAGGTACAAACGTAACCGGCAATATGGTATAGAAACACTACACGAGTAGAAAGAATGGAAATGAAGCAGAACTGTGAAGAAACATCTTGTACGCATTTCAAGCGCTGTGAGCGTGACCTTTTGAAATTGCTATAAGGGGAGACTTTGTGCAATGTTTAAGGGTGCCTTCATTAGAAGAGCTATTTCATCTAATTTTAGAATCAGTTCCAGTGCCTATCTTGTTTGTTTTCGAGGCACGTATGTCAGCATATACCTGTTGCAATCACTAGTCTTATGAAATATCTAAAGATAAGTGCAAATTCAAAGGCTTCCAGTGTGGAAAGGTTAAGGCTCACTGGTCTTGGATGATCATTTCATTCTTCTCTGTATGTAAATGCTCATTTTGCGTGAGGTTCAAGAATGCACCCAACTGATGTAATTTTTATCCAATGAGTTGCGCTATACAGTACAATTACAATTCATTTCAACTCCTTGATAGAGCTACATATAAAATGAAAACATAAAATAAATGTAAATATAAAATTGATATTGATACAGACCTACTCGCAGAGCACAAACAGGTAGTGTGTTCTTACCCTTAAAAAGTATTTTCACTGTACCTTAAATCAAGATTGTACACTTTAAATTGATGTAGTTACGTAACAGTACCAATAATGTACATCAGAAAAATTGTACAATACTGAGATATAAATTTCAAATAACTTCCATGGCAGTTTGGCCATTACAGTTTGAACAAATTAACCTAGGAAGATTACGGTGCTGAACTTGTACTTAAACCTCCGTCTCATGTTGGACTATTTAAGGAATATTTCATCATTTATCTTTTTAACTATTCTAAGACTGTAGCCAAACCAAGTTAAGTTAGTTAAGTGAAATTAAACATTAGACAAGCTTCAGTTTGAGTAGACAACAACACATCCCTCGCTACAGGCCCCTGACTGAGCGATGATATTGAGAATCCCGGAGGCCTAGAACAACAAGAAAACAACAAACAGACAAACTTAGTGATCTTACCTGATGTCCACAGTGATACTGTCAACAGTGTCCATGCCAGCGGCAGAGGGATCATTTTGTCCGGTTGCCAGTGTGTGTGTACGCAAGGGTGTATCTTGAGTGGAAGTGGAGGGACGGTGCTGATACTTTCTTTTCCTGTTATCTATCTGTCAGAGATGATGGGAGGAACTGAGCTGACAGGGCCCTGAGTCTACAAGGTAACACCCCAATGTGACACACACAGGGCCTATCAGAGTGGGCCATACACCATCCAAGGGATTTAAACATCACACACATTAACAGAGAACTGGCAAAATATAAAGCATACAAAGAATGCTAATTATTTGATTCTGATATTCTTTACTGCGCTCACTTTGTACCCAACAAGTAACATTTGTGTTTTCACCTCAGAGATGTGGGTTGTTCAAGGAGAAAGATGCAATTCAACATACATGACATACATACAGTGATCATGACAAACAGCTGAAAAAATGTGGCGATGTTTCATCAGAGTTGACATGATGCCACATATCAAGCAATAAAAAAAGTTGTTTATTCACAGAGCAGCAGTTTGCAGGGCTGTGGTCTCTCTGCCCAGGTGCATGACCTAGAGCTCAGCAGAGTCCTACATACGCAGCTTCATGCCTCACTGCAGAGCACGGCAAGGGAATACCAATATACGGAGCCTAAACTACATGTATTAAGTGGAAATTAAGGATTGGTGAAAAGAACACTGATCCACAATGCTGTAGATTATTTTTAAATATCCACTGGTGTGTGCACATAAAGATATTACAGCTCTTTCTTAATACTCACTTATTGAAGTGAGTATTAACAACAAGGTATGAAGCGTATCAAGACACACAGGAAAGCACTGTGACAAAACTCTGTGAGATTTGTGTATAAGAAACTGACACAAAGCAAAGCTGAATTTCTCCAGTAGACAATGAATTGTCACCAACTCATTTCCTTCTTGTCACATGAATGCATTAATAATGCTTAAATCGAACTGTCTTCATTCTGTCCCAAGTGAAAATGCCGGAGTGACGGACTGACTGGCATGTAAGCTAAATTTTATCTGGCAGTCAGAGACGACGCAACAGCAAAAGTTGAGTTGAAGAAACACCTGACATTGGAACGAGTCCATTAGGTCAGCAACTACCAATTATTTTCATAATTAATTGAATTGGAAGAATTGCCGTCGCAATTTCCAAGAGCCTAAGGTGACATCGTCAGATTGTTTGTTTAGCCAAATATCAGTCTAATACCAAAAGGTACTTCATTTATGATGATTTAACACAAAGAAAAACATCAGAGCCTTACATTTCCAAAGCTGGAACTAATGACTATTTTTGCATTTTTGCTTGATGAATGACACAATTAATCCATTTTCAAAATTGTTGACTAACATTCTAACAATTGATCAACTAGTCGTTTTGGTTTGTTGCATTCAGTGGATATTTTAAATACTAAGACTGATAAGATACACGGAAGTCTATTCATCAACCCCACATCAGGCCTCACTGATGAGCAGCAATGACTTACACACTGGATTGGATAGTGTATAGGAGGTACTTGAGATTTCCTTACAGTTGATATCTTACTTAAAAACCTGATTGTAATGACTTTACTCCAACATCTCATTAATTGGAATTTATATTTCATTTTGTGGCAGCCTTTCTAAAATGAAGACTGACTGTTCAAATTATCCCTGGAATTCAGAATTTCCTTGACAAAACTGGTGAGCACATCTGAGTGGTGTGTCTGGATTATTTTTGTGGGTGTAAAAGGTTAGGGTGCAGAAAGGTCTGGTGGGGGGTCTTAAAGTGAGAGGATGTGGGCACCCCGTAGCTCTACGGGGGGTCGAAGACATATGCGCAACAGGGAACGAGACCACAGGATTCTTTGAAAACAGGAGATCTCAGGGGGCTTCAGAGCTGCTCTTTACACATCGCTGCGCTGTAAAGCCTTTGTTGGTCTGCCTGCTCCGACGCTTCAAGTCAAAAGCTGATTTCTAATTTCATTTCTCTCCTCAGCCAATTTTATAAAAGGTTTTGTAATTTCAGACAAGACACTAACTTGTTCTTGTTACTGTAAGTGTCTCTATTTCGGTGTGTGTTTGGTTCTAATTAGCAGTGCTTTAAACAAATACTATTTCAAGTTGAGACCTCACTTTAGAAGCTTTTCATCTTACAGCCTCCACATGACTTCGGTAGCAGACTACATCAACGGTTCAGTCACCCAACACTGGTGCAGTAATCAAGTATCTTCAGCAATTATTTAACTCTAAAACATCACTGGTAAGCTGTTTCAAGCACGTTTTTGATTTACAACACTTTGGCTTAAATCCAGTGATATTCTGCTCTCCTCTTCCAGCAAACCACATAATGTGCACCATTCTGCTCTCAGGATCCTAACGCAATCAAACATCTGATATACAGCAATGAACCAAGCAAATGTCAAACTTTCAAGCATATGCTGCACATTAAAAACTTCTTAAATAAATGTAGAAAACAACAGAGCTTTTATGTTCGGGTCAGTTTGAGCGTGTCACCTGCATCAAGAGGAGTTTGTGAATATTAGACCACCACTCAAGTCTGTTCTCAGTCCTGCAAACCAAAAACCTTTTTTCTAGAATTCTAGTTTTTATGAAAGCCAAACTAGTCCACTGTCATAACTCATAAAGTTGCCTAAGCTTGAAATTTGTGTTGCATTTACTGATAACATTTGGTCCACAAGTGACCCAGATGATATTTAAAGAAAACAGAACTTTATTACACAAGGACAATGAAGGTGTTGTAGGAAAAAGGTAAGGCTCGTTAAGTATTCAGACTATATTATTGCGCTGCACTCACAATTATTTTCAAAGTCGATTAATCTGTTGATTATTTCCTCGATTCATCAATCATAGTTGTGTGGTCTAAAATGTCTATCAGTGTTTCCCAAAGCTCAAGATGACGTCCTCAGATGTCTTGTTTTGTTCACAATACCAAAGGTATTCAGTTTACTGTCATCGAGTAGTAAAGAAACCAGAAAATATTCACATTTAAGAAGCTGGAATCAGATATTTTTGATGTTTTTTTTGTTTAGCCTATAGTTTTATTTTATTTCAATGTTACCATATTTTAATACACATTTAATTATCTGTTAAGTTCTCTGTGTGCAGCATGAAGGGACTACAAACCTTCATTTCGTTATACATCGACAAATAATATAATGACAAATAAACAACCTTGTAACCTTTAAACTCTAAAGGATGCATTTAAAACAAATACATTGTTTTGAGTGAATCCTAATGAGTCAAAAGGACATTGGAAATTATACTTAAATGCAACAACTTTACTTTTCCTATGTTCAGTCACTAAACTGCATCTGAACATGAATTCTCAAGTTTGTAAAGAGCTATCCTCATTTGAACCTTTGCACCTGTCTGACCCCAAACATTTTGTGTGTTCTGTGGATGTGCAAATACTTCCATAACACATGCACACACAGACAATGCATTGTAGACTAGGGCAATGCCTCAGCACTCTCATTTGCTCTTTTAGAATCGTTTTGTTTGCTGCAGTGTGGGCAACAGGCACAGGGTTTGTTATATTTGTATCATTCAATTACATCCAACATGCGCTCAATCTCTCTCCATCTCTAAAAGACTTCTTTCAGCCTATGTGCCCCTGAGTGAAATCACACTGAACTTCAAAAGAAATGAAATGCCTAAGCTTCTACCATCTCTGGGCTTTTATTTACTTCACTGATGCTCTAAATGAAGCTCAACAGCACCAACCACAGGCTGCTAATGGGACAACAAACTATTAAATCCTTGCTAGAAGCACAGACAACATAATCTAACACAGTTTAATTTACTGATGTGTGAAGAGACAAAAGGACTTGATCATTTCAAATGATAGGCAAGAAAAGAGAGCTCTTCAATATTACAGCCAGCAATTAATGACAATGTGCAAATTAATCCAACCAAAGACATTATTAAGTGTCATAGTGAAAAATAAAGCTATTATAGTTGTGGATATGTGTGAGAATGAGAAACCCCTATGAACACACTGAAATGAGAGGGATTCATTCATTCCTTTCAAACACAAAGTGACTAAACATGGCTAGCCAGCTAGCACACCTAAGACGAACAACACTTTTGGGCTGTCAGAACACATAGTGATAACTGCTTTGTTAAGGCTTTAAAGATTATTTCAATATATTCAGTTTTTGAGATTTTAAATGTCATGTTCTTGATAACTTCATGTTTTGCCTATATGACAGCAGTTCAAAAGTTAAACTGGGCCTTTTGACTTTAACAGCCCAGGATGGAGTCGTCCCAGAGCTTCTCCTCCTCCGTCCTAGTGTCTACTTTCTCTTTCGTTTTCTTCTTCTCTTTCCTGTGTTTGGGTTTTGCTGGCTCATCCTGTCCACCATCCCCCTGCTCAACATTCATTTCAGCCTGAATATGCACTTCAGTCTCTTTTCTACTGTCCATCGTGTCTTCTGGCATTAAAGTGTCTATCGCCTTTTCCCCACATTCCGCCCCATAGTCCTCCTCTCGGTTTTTCTTTTCTCGTCTCCTCCGCTTGCCATGATTTTTTCGCTTCATCCGCCTCCTCTCTCTCTCTTCCTCGGACTCTCCAAATTCCCCTCTTCTCCTGTCCCCCGACCCATTATCTCTTTCCCTCCTCCCTCGCTTGCTCCTCTTCTCCTCCTTGTCGGACTCCTCGTCTCTTGCCCTCCTGTCTCTCTCCCTCCTGTCTCTCTCCCTCCTGGATCGTCTGATCCTCCTTTTTTCTCTGCGCCTGTATTCACTGTCATCACTGTCACTTGCGCTGCTGCTACCGGAGGAATAGGTGGAGGAGGAGTAAGATGATGATGTAATATACGAGGAGGAGCTCGACTGCTTTCTGCGCCTCCTTCTCTTTGTGGGCCGACTACTGAACAGTGGAGGGCCTGAGCCTAGGAGGACTGGAGGTGGGCAGTTGTAATCCCAGCCGTGGGATGGCAGGGCAGGGCCCTGATATGGAGGATGCCACCCCTTAACTGGGTTGTAACAACCAAGACGGGAGTGATGAGGAGAGGTAGAGGTGGGAGGGAAGTTGGGCATAGGTTTGTTCAGTTCTGTGATATTCCCCTTATTTAATACTTCCACTTCTTCTTCTTCAGCTTCCTCATCCTCATTCCGTGTATCTCCCAGAGGGAGGATTTGACTGGTCTTGGGGTTGATTCCACGAGCCTTCTGGACCTGAATGTAATCTGACAGTTCATCTGCAAATGTGCTGTAGACCTTTTGCTGGGATGATTTGCACAGGTCAGTGACCTTCTTCTCCCTGGTCAACAACATGTAAACAGGAATTAGGTTGCTATGCATTTAGGAAGCTCTTGAAAACTCATCGCTTCCGAGAACACTTCCTCTTATAACACCCCTAACATGCACTTCCTGTGCTCTTCTTCTTCTATCTCCTTCCAATTCTCTTGTATTGATTGCACTTTTTGATTAACTCTTACTTTTCCCCCTAGGTATTTATCCCACTGATGCTGTATGCAATAGCTCTTACTACTATTTATTGCTGCTCTTAGTATCTATTGCTACTCATAGATCTGTTACTTTACTGATGCTTGTATGTTGTTCCTCAAATGTAAGTCACATTTACCCATTTGGCAGTTGGACAAAAGAGTAAATGTAAATGAGTAATAAATGTTGATGTCACACTAAAACCACATTAAGTGTTGAGTGGACTAAGTAGCGTTTTCTTTTCTTCCGCACCTGTAACCAACTGGTTGCCTGTTCTCACTACCCATCTCCTTTGTGTATGTAAGACAGCCATGGGAATCAATATGTGGGCTGACAATCAAACTGAGCTAAAAGAGGCTAGAAGCTGCATAGAGCTGCAGAGCTTAGGTATCCTATTCAGTACAGCAGAGATTAAATTTAGGTATAAATGATGTCACTATGGTGTTTGTCAGAAAATTCTTGATCTTACCTAATCTGGTGTTTGTTGCCCTGCATGTGGGCCTGGTACATCTCCACCGAGTTAAATTGCACACTACACATCTGACACATCAGGGAGTTGGCTGAAGACAACAGAAAGCGGGTGACGTGTATAAAAGGAAAAGACAGTGTTAATTATAAAATTATTTACAGTGTTTATAAACACTCAGATCAACAGCTTCCTTTGCTTTCTTCTAATTCTAATTAGTTTTTAGTGAGCTGCTACCTCACGTAAAAATAATACGATTTATTTAGTAATTTTTGTATTAAGTCTTCTCTACAAAGAGATACGTTATGCAGCCTACAACTGAAAGTAGAAGTTAATAAAACGTCACAACACCTAAGGTTAACATTCTGTGTAATAAATGAAAATTGTCGCAAACTAAATGAAAAGTCCACCATGTTATTATTTGACATAGCCAGAGTTAGACTAACTGCCTATTGTCAACGTCGGCTTTTTGTAAGAAGGTTATCAAACTAACACCTACCTGCTACCCCTACTAGGATGAAATCTTCAGGGCTGAGACGATTTTCCGTTTCAAATGTGAGTGTTATTTTTTATTTCTTGATCATTTATGTGTTAGTATTGGGATGTCATGCTGTTGTCATCTTCTCCTGATTTTATTTGTTACCCTGCATCTTAGATAAATTAAAGGGCACTGCCATGTAGTGTGTCTAACAAAGGACAAATGTTCCTCAAGAAATATTTTTCTTCACATCAATCCTTCCTCTTAAAATACACTCAATATCGTATTGTGCAACTGTGCAAGTTTAATAGAATTCCTGCAGGGTCTGTTGCCCTTTGTATTATCCTGCTTTGCTGAGAGGCAGGACCCCGCGTTACCTTGTTGCACATCATCTCCGAGCTCTTTGAGCAGGTCCTGTCTGGCCTGATTCCTCTGGTGTTTGCGTCCATTGTAGTGCTGTACAGCCATTTGGGGGTTGTTGAAGGAAGCAGCACACAGGGCACAGTACTTGTCAGGGTCCATCAGATCAACCTCTGTGCTGGGGGTTGTTATTGTGGCCGTTGGGTCCAGAAGGTGCTCCATACAACCCTCTGGAGTTGATTTCTGGTCAGTATTAGGAGAATCCCGACTCAGACTTGGTAAAGTACGCACCTCTGTGTACCTGTCTGTAAGTGCAACGAGAAATTATCATTTTGAGTTAATTTGTGTTTGACCCTCTCAACTCATGCAGAACTTGTGCAGATAGTTGAACAATACTGTCAATATATTGTTTATCTGTAAATATTTAAATTCAGATATTCAATACTTTTTCTATCACAGAACCCATACTTGCCTGGGGGCTGGAAACCTTGTTTACGAAGATTTTTTGAATGGACCTTGCCTTCATAGTGTGATCTTGCCACCACGTGGGAACTAAACACCATGTTACACAGTTCACAGAAATGGTCCTTATCAGTAGTCATGGTCTGCTGCAAAAAACAAGAGGCTTATTAAGGGACAGATATTTGCTTCCTGACATGGTATGAAAACGTGAAACATTGAATAAAGTCGAGAATAAGAAAGACGTCTCAAGACATCTCATGTTCTGCCACATCTTTTGAATATACTCTCTTATGTGATCATATTCTATTGAGAAGGAAATCATTATGGACACTAAACTTATGACCCTCTTATGACTTCTTACCGTTCGATGCTTGCAGCTTTATGCTTTATGTCAGGGGTTTTCAAAGTGTGAGGCGGGCCTCCCTAGGGTGGCTCCAAACACTTTAAGGGGAGGCTCAGTGAATGGAAGTGACACAATATTACATTACTTATTGCTTTAGTTATCAAAAGGAGATCACACAGAATAGCCTACATGTCTGAGAGTTCAGAGATACAGTAGTTTTTGGGAACTGTTTTCCCCCATCGGAGTCAGAAACTAATAAATGCCTTAGGACGGATCATTTTTTTTAAAACTATTTGGTGTAGCCAGAAGTTATATTAGGCTATCAAATTATATAATCATTATCCCATAGGCATCCAGGAATTGAGCGAAACTTACCAAGTAAACTAAAGATGTGGGGGGGGGGGGGCGTTTCCCAAGCTTTGTCTGAGGGGAGGCCCGCAGTGTCAGACTTTAAAAACCCCTGCTTTATGTTCTTGTAACACTGTATGTTCTTGTAAACTGATTGTCTGATGTTACAGGTTGCACCTAAAGTAAAAGAGGGAAATCTGCGCCAGTGAGCGCCAACCTGGGGTCCTGTGGACTCTTTGTTCATCTTCTCAGCCCTCTTGGCCTGCAGGTACACCCTGAGTTTCTGAGCATGTTTCTTTCCCTGCAGTTGGGTGAAACAGGAGATATCATTATAAAGGGCTCCGACCTTGTGAGGTCAATAAAACTGTACCAGGGTTGCATGGCTGGTGCCTGGAAAGCAGCACACACCTCATAGTGGGACAGCCGCTGAGATTCAAAGAGCAGCACAGCCTCACACACATGGCAGTAGTCGTCAGTGAGGAGACCCTTTAGTAGCTCCTCTTCACTCTTGTCTCCTGTGTGGCAGAATATACAGACACTGTTACAGTTAGGCCACACTGAGTGCTGTGGAAGACTATTTAAGCATGGTGAACAAATAACGGGCTACTAAATCATCAACATCAACATTCATTTGGGAGAAACCTTTTCCAAGGCAGCTCACATTAAAAATACCATAAAAAATGGTGAAACTCGGTTAATATGTGTTCACTAGATAAAATATAACTAAAGCGCTGTGCAAGAGCAACAAAAAACTGTTGCTCTTGTGTCTCTACGCTGGTTAGTTTTGATATAGAGTTTTTTTCAGTTTTGGAAAAATTTAAAGCTAATTTGTACAATTTTCATTCTCTGAATGTGAAAAAGGTCTCATGCGACATTCAAAATCATTCTGTTTTTGCAGGCCAGGAAGTTTGAACAGCACAAGACAACAGCTTTTCCTACAATTCATACTGTAACAACAGCTTCCTATACAATGGAAAATGCGGGAGCCCATTTTAGAGACAATTTATATATTTTACTGAATTCTACACTTATTCAAGACGCATTCACCCCCTTAGGCTGAATTTAAAGCAAGACATATCCACTGTACAACATTATATATATAAATAAATATAAATATTTTATTTACCAACAGGATTCCTTGGGACAGCGGTAAACTAACAGGTCCTTACATCATTATATTTCACAAAATGCCTAAAAAAGTGCCACTCGAACTATTCCCACTAACCTCTTACACTGCTATGCGGAAACTAGAATCCAACGGATAAATCAGCATGCAGATATTATCGATCGATATGAGCTAATTGCAGATTAATCAGTAAGTGTTAATAACAGCCAATAAATGACAATTAAAAAAACAAACAGAGACGTGGAAGACGGCTCCCTCAATCATGTTATGAGTGTTGTCGTTGCACAGTTTTTCCACCAGAGGGCACTCTGCAGCTCCACTGTTTGCAACCATCTGTACTTTTGTTTAGTAGTACTATTTATAACACAAAACATTTTTTTAAAAAGCATTATGTCATATTATCTTGGTGAAGTCTCATTACTATACATAACAAATGTTAGTGATACTCTTTGTTTATGTTATGTGTTTCTAAAAAGAAGAAAAATAAAGAATATTGACAGAAACACCTCTAAACACTTGTAGAATATATTGTCACCATGTGAGAAATTCATGGTTTCTTGCTTGACTGCATTCATTCGGCTTGTTCAGTGTCTATTGCATAGTGCATATTAATTTTCTGTGCATTTCTGCATTCATGCAACCTTTGACTGTCAGCCTCTTTGCCCCGATAGCATTAATAAAGTATATCGTTATCTGCTCATTTTCATGTGAAGCACGATTATTTAGCACAGTACCACACTGTGGATGAGTATTATTCAAAATAGCTCAAATGTGTGGGCAAAGATTTTGTCACAAGTGTGGCTAGTTTTCCAAAACTGTGACGTGTGTGTTTCATTTTTAGAGATTTTAAAATGACATTAAATAAATGGGAACTGAGGTATTACTACAAAATATATTTGTTTACATCCTTGCTGCAAATAATTAATTAATATGTGTCTACATAATGTAACAATGAAATGGTTTGATATGGTATGTGGTATTGAGCTACTCATAAGACAAGAGTGTTAAATACCCTTTTGAGACTGCTGGTGACTGAGAGCTAAAAATTACTTATTTTAAATTGCAATATCACATTAATTTATTGAGTAAAAAATGTGTTAATTAAATCTTTATGTTTATGTTGATCTATTGTCACAGACAAATCACTGATCAAATTATTCAAAAATAACAGTTATATTAATCAATACCGAAAATTACCACTGCAGCCCGAAGTGCAAAACTGAGGTAAAGAAAAATGAGGAATCCAAATGAAGGACTGACAATGTACATAGTGTGCTGGCTTAACTTTAACTTACCAACTTCATTAACGCCAATGTAACGCAATAAGACAATTACACACTGAAATACAGCATTTCCCCCCGTTTCTATGTAAAATCTACAACTCAAAAGAACTAAAGACTGCCATCAGTAAAACAAAACAATATCTACAGACTTTGATACCGTCCAAAATATTCATGTCTGCTGATACATTTCAAATAATGTACTTACCAAATGATAATCACAGTAGCAGTTAACAAGAGAACAGAGATTTTAGGAACTGTGTCTCAAAGTATGTGTACAATATTTGAACAGGAGAAATTACTTTCTAGTTACATGCTCATCTTGAGGGCACTTTTTATTCTACTTGTGAGCGAGGGACAGATGGCCATATCTAATGTAAAGCTCGTGAGGTCTGAGATCCTTAACACTCACAACCAACCAGAGAAAACGCTGCTACATCTTCAGGCTGTACAGTTGTACCAACAGCTAATGTTTTGCTTCATAGCACAGCAGAAACGTTGCTTTGACTGATTCAGTAAAATAAGATTAATGTCACTAAATGGCACTGCTATTTGATGGTCTCCGCGACCAGGACATGTTAGCTGCCCACCCAGCTAACACTAACCACTGTTATGTGGCTATTTTAGATGGTCAACAGGCTGTTTGGTTTGGGGACTGAGTTTGCGGACACTAGCTCGCAAGACAATTAGCAACTGGCCAACCACTTCCGGACCTGAGAAATCCACTTAACTTTGTATGGTTTCACTATCAGGCTGGTCTTAGGTTTAAAAGGGTGTTTTGGTGGGCAACACGTTTTACGAGCAATGTACGCAAGGACCGGTAACTGATCAACTCCTAACGTTACAGCTAACGTTAGACAGTTGACATTAGCGTCTTTAGCTAAGGAGCTAACAGCTCACTCGATTGTTCCAGTTAGCTAAAAAGCTAACATTGACTCGGCAGGAAGGACACCGTACGGCTGAATTTACACGTTCTAGACAAAACTCACCTTCCACCTGGGTACTATCTACTTTAGTGTTTATTACTTTGTCAGCATCTGTGAGAGAAGCCGCGTTAGGGGTACTAGTTGTGTCATTTTGAGCGTCTGACTCCGCAAACAGCGGAGTACAGACACTTGTGTCGTCCATCTTTTTCCCTAGTTGTTCAGTGCATGCGCAGTGACGTCCTGCTAGGTATCCCAAAGTCACTGATAAACAAGAATACAAGCAAGTAACAATCAGTCAACTTTATTTCAGACGCATAGATCCATATCAGTAAAGTAAAATAAAATAATTATAAAGACACAATACAAGATACCCAGTACAAAATATGTACAAGCTCATTTCATAACACATTCCACCATAATTAAAACACATGTAGACATTTGTTCCAGTGTTTCCAAAAACACGAGAAATACCTTGTATCATTTTTTTTTAGGTTCAGTTAAAGCTAAAATGACCAAATTTTTTTGAATTAATCAGCCAACACATACATTTATGCATAAGATTCTGCAATACAGCATGAAGACCGGGAACATTACTTGCACTTGTCCATTTTGGGAACTTAAGCAGGATTCTAAATGCATCATTAAATGACACCTGCAGCTTTTTCATTTTCCCTTTAGTATAACTGCACCACAGTGGAGTACAGTAAGCTTAAAAAAAAAAAAAATCTATTTTAACATCATCAGAACACATATGAAATTTCCATGCCAGCATATTGGCTTGTGCATACAATTTGCAACACTGGCGCTGCATGTCATCATCATCACATAAATCATCCCTGATTATATGATCCAGATATCTTACTTTATTCACCACATTTAACACTTAGTTTGCCAAATAAAAAGTAGGAAAGGTTTGTTTCTGATCCTCCTTGGTTTTGGCAATCATAATAACACTTTTTTTAGGGTTAAATTTTATGTCATGCTGCACACCATACTTTGAGCATACTCTGAGGAGTTGCTACACTGCCCTATAAGGAGACAGGACGACCAGATTGTCAGCGTACATCAGATGGTTAATAAGACACAACCCGTCTTACATTCTTTTAACTTGTTAGAAAGGTCATCCATATACAAATTAAATAGAACAGGGGACAATATTCCACCTTGTCTGACCCCATAGTCACTAGAAAGGGTGCAGAAATACTCTTTCCCCATTTAACTTGCATAGTTTGATGCATATGACAAAAAAAGCAAAATCCTTATCAAGTACGGAGGGACCCCTTGCTCTTGTACTTTACCAAACAACATACCATGATTAATTCGGTCAAATGCTTTGGACGCATCAAGAAAACACATAAATATTGTAGTGTTGTGCCTTTTGTAGGTATTTATGACCTCCTTCAATGCATAGATACACAAATCTGTACTCTGCCTACTTTTAAAACCAAATTGATTATCAGTGGTTATTATGTATTCTTGAAGCCTATCTAGAAGAATCCTTTCTAATACTTTGGAAAGTATGCTAGCCAGGGCAATTGGTCTATAATTATCCATGCTGGATATTTTACCAGTTTTGTCTTTAACCACTGGCACCAATAAAACAGACAACATAGAATCAGGTAAAAATGCCATGCATTAACAATCCAGAGAAGCACATAGCAATCACTTTGGCTAGCATTTTTCAGATGTTCTGCAGTTATTTGGTCAAGGCCACATGCTTTGTTTACTGCCAAATTATCAGTGGCATTGCAGACTTCATCAGGTCTAATAACCACACCATCATTGTCAGGAACATCACTGACATTAAATTCCACACTTTTAACACAATTAAAAATATCTCTGTAATGTTTTCTCCATAATTCAGCAATATCTTTAGACCCAGTTATCCCATCAATACTTGAAGGCAAGGGTACCTTACTGTTATTAATGACCTTAATTTCTTTCCAGAAATGAGAGACATTATTTTGCTGAAGCTTTTTGGTCATTGAGTTTGCCCTCATGGCCTGCTTTTTCACACATGTACAGCATATTTAAATCTGGCATTTGCATATTTTTTATGTTCACACTCTGGGCCGTACCTAGCATTTCCTTATAAGATCCAGTTTTTAAAAGATTTTCTGGCCTCTGTATGGATATTCATTCCAGCCTGGTCTGAGACTTTTTTTTACAGAGTAATTCACTGCCATTATTTAAACAATTCACAGTTTTATCATACTTTTTATACATCCTGTGTAAAAAGTAACATTTTTAATTTAATGTAATGATAATTCGCATAAATCTGACTCAGCCTGTATATTTAGTGGGCTACTCTATGTATTTAAAATAGTTTTGATTTCATGTAATGTACTTTAAAACCTGTTTTCCTGAACAGGGTTTCATATTTTCAAATCTGTTTTGTACATTCTTGTTGAACTATGGCCTCCCCATGAAAAACCAAACTGGAACATTTTCACAATATATTTGACAGAGGCAAATAAATTAAAAATAAAAAAAATTTCGGTGTAGTTTAAGTAGTAGTTAACTTTTGTCTTTTTTTACTCTTTTTTAATTTCTTCGATTCAAGTGTCCCAGTAAGCCATGACAAGGGGCCAGCATGCACATCAGGACCCTGAAACCCGAAACAGCTAAATGGAATCGAGCCATCATGAATTTGATTATTCTTTGCTTTTCTTACTTTTTTTTCACTAGACAGTTACTATTCATACTTTATACCATACACAGTTTTAAACAACAAAAATGGGGGGAGAAAAAAAAACAAGTTAATATCAAAATAGATACTTTATTATGGGACATTATAACGTCAACATAACTTCTTCTTTGCCACAGGGGAAATCCATGTAATGCTGGAAAACAGATGTATGGACAAATATATCAAGTAGATGAGATCAGAGGATCAACATAAAGTTGTTTCAGGTCAAGACAAGGACACTGAAGAAGACGGTCACTAGGTAGAAAAGCAGGGTAGGGTGGAAAGAGGTCACTTCCTCTTCTGGAGCTCTCTGGCTAAGGCATCCAACTGTGAAGAATGACAGAAAAACATGAGTCAGACACACTAGTAATATTTTTTGTTGCTAGGTCCGCTGTACAGATATATAGGACATTATGTCAACAGGGTGGTGTATGTGCATGGGTTAGTGTGCAGACACATTCTTGTAAAGATATAAAAATCGCTTTAATTATAGTGGGACATTAGGCAGCTCAAATGCCTTTTGTTTGTATCTGGGTTTTTACAACTTGCATCCATGCTGCACTGGATAGGATACCTTTAGTTCACTTACAAATATACTTCTCAGAATATTCCTCCTCTGGGGTCTCAAGTAGTTGCATTCTCCCACCTCACACAGCTTCATCTCCTCTGAAATCTGAGACAGAGATATTTTGAGCATGAAAGAAGAGTAAAGTTGTAAAGAATATCTTAATTCTCAACAGGACATGCTCTGTGAATGCACACTGGCACACACACACAAAAACACTGATCCCGACCTCTGACGTGCCAAAAGAGTCCAGCTCCCTCTTGCCTCCGGGGTACCAACCATGCGACCAGTGCTGGGCGTTGGACAGCTCAGCACCCACACATAAAAGCAGCCCAAGCAGCAAAACCAGCCGAGATACACACATGATATTCCCACCTAAGGGCAAAGATAGACACTCAACTAGCTCCGACTATAATTTGATCCTATCTGATTTAGAAAGTCTGAACAAATTGCAAACTGTTAAAATACTCTGTTGTTAATTATATTTTCCACAGTTCAGATATGGAATTGTTTTTTTGTGTAGCAGAAAGTTTCATCTAAATTTAAAAAGTCTTTATTTTACTTTTCCTGCAACAAAAACTCAAAAGACTATAGCTCATACTGTATACAGAAAATAGCTGGCTGTCACCAGAAAGTGCTGATATTTTGCTATATTATCAATCAAAGTAAGCATCCTTACCTTAGTATCAACTCTTACAACTTTATCACTACAGGTGTCCCTCAACGTCCCGCCAGAAGCTCACTCTGCTTGCCCTCTAGTTGGTCAGTTGCCGACGGTATCTCACTGTTTCACAAGAGTACCACTGTGGAGATTCTCTTCAACCTCATCCGCCTCTTCAATATATGTACTGGTCTCAAAGGCCCCCCTCCCAGTGTACACTGCCATTATCATTCCCTAATTGCCCTGCCCATCACTGACCCCCTTGGTCCCTCTGTTACCAGTAGTAAAATGAACGGTCCCTTGGGGACAAGAGGTCGAGAAGACAGCCCAATCCAATTATCGCCTGCAAACAGCACTGACACCCCTGGGACGCTCATCTGCTCACACGCATCACCCATATCCCCTACCAAATACTGTCCCTCTGACTGAATAACAGATTTAAGTCATTCAGTTAACAAACAGTTTGATGACAAAGCAGTATCATTCACTTATCCTTCTTGAAGACTTTAAAAAACATCTTATTAAATTGAGTGGAAGTAGGGACTCAGTACTCAAAAAAAGTTTTGGAGAAACCCAATATTATATTATAATATATCATATTATTTGTATTCTTAAATGCCAGTGGGTTCTATAGGGTCTGGCTTCTATATGTCTGGGCCCCGCTGACATTATCTTTTGACTAATAGTATTTTATCGTATTTCTCAGTTCACAGGTCTTTGTCAGAAGATAAAACTCAATAGCCTTTATATTCCTTTCTTTCCTCATTTCCTCTCCTTTATCACCTGTTTTGACCACAGTGACCTGTCACACATTTTCCCGTTTAAGCCAGATGACCCTTCCGTCAGAGGGAACACAGGGGCATCTGATGACAAGGGGGACAAACACTGTGAAGTCCTGGCCAAGCCTCGGATGACCTCCCTGTCAATTGGGGGTATTTACTTTTTTCAGAGTTTTAGATGCAGGACCAGTTCTTAGTCAGGAAGTGACTGACGTGACTGACTGAGTGTGACGTGCTGCTGTTGACTCAGTTCATCTCCTAGCTTGAGCATTAAGGCACAGGATTGTTTGGAGCAATGGGTTGGTTGACCCCAAGATGCGGCACTCATGAGACATAATCCCCGTTCCCAGATTCATCTGTCAGTGTGAAGCGACCTTCTCACCTTCTCAGATGTCTGTAGATGAACATGCACAAATTTAACATTTAAAGGCAGATCAGGTTTATATATGCCAATACAGTTTATACACAATTCTTGTTAATAGTGCTGCTGATTTATTTCAGGTCTGACCATCCTGTCACCTTTTATTTTATCATGAGGACTCATAATAAAAACAGAAAAAAAAGAAAGAAAATAAAAGTCAGAATTGAAGTGGCAGATTTCAAGATATCCAGACTTTTAGTTTGTAGAATGAGTCAAGCTACAAAATCACTGGACCCTACATTTCCCTTTATGCAACTTGATACTGCATTTTTCCTTAAACCTCCCTGCCTCCTAAATGCTCAGTTTGCTCAGTCAAAATAACAGGGTTATTTTTTTTAAACTACAGAATTGTCCAACAGAGCCACAGAAGAGATTATGAGTGGTACTCAGGGTGCCAGAGTCATCACATTGTTTTGGATAACACTGGATATCTTCCCATGTCTCCATTATTAGGAATTTCATGTCAGTGCTCAACTCTTACCAAACCCAAAGACACTGTAAGCCCAACAAACTGAATAATACCAGGTTCATTCAATTGGGGTGGTGATAGCGAATAGATAAGATGCTTGCCTGTGGTGTGGGAGACCAGGGTTCAATTCCCACTGAGCAAGACCCTTAACCCCTAGTTGCTCCAGAGGCGTGCGACCTCTGACATAAATAGCAATTGTAAGTCGCTTTGGATAAAAGCGTCAGCTAAATGATTAAATGTAATCGCAATACTACTTACTAATATAAGTAGTAATTAATGTAAATATAATGCATTCCAGGTATTACTGTCCATATGAATACTTCAACAGTAACCCTAAATGATTTTCTGATTAATTATTTATTGGATCAAAAAGCACATTAATATTTGTTCAGGGTGAAGGGTTAAACACTGATTGAAAACCCTTCCAGAGCAATGCTCAGGAGGACTGCCTGATCTATAAGGCACACGAATGATTGGCAATTATTTTGCACCACTGTGCCATTAGTCTTCATGGAGAAGTGAGCTGTAATGAGCATGAGGTCGCCCTGACTTGAGTGCATGAATGCATTTGAGTTGTCCGACATGTGTGAGGTAACTGCACTTCTGTGTTTACTTAAATACATAAATACAGACAAATGATAAAATCTCAAGCACTTTATTAGGTTTGAACAGTATCTTGTTTAGAAAGGCCATTTGGCATTATATAATTATATATAATTTTTATATATATATATATATATATAATTATATATACATATATTCAAATGTTGAATAACAAAACACTAGAAACAAACATAGGCAAATTAAAAAATAGCATTTGCTTAAGACAATTATACCAAATTAAGCATGGCCAAAACAAAACATTTCAAAATGGTCCCGATACGATACAGTTCAATATACATCTTTTAAAAAAGAAAAAAAAAAACAATGAAAGAAGGGGGCAGAAGAAAATAAAATAAGCAAGGCAGGAGACAGGAATGAAATATAAATAACCTTACAATTATGTACAAAAGGGAGTGGGCTGTGACCAGTGGGGGAAAAAATGTTACAAAGACAAAGTGAAAGAGGAAAAGAAAGCGATAAGTGGACAGCAGTGAGTGGGAGTTGGACAGGAGACAGAAAGGACATATAAAAAAGGTGGAAAAGAGCAGGGATGGACTCTAGTCTTCCTCCTGTTTAACACTCCAGAAATGGAGACGTATTTTAATCTTTCGGGGCGTTCAAAATGCTCCACTGGGGCAAAGCTCCAGAAATAAAGGGGCGTGAAACAGGGACAGCTGGTTTCCCTTGGTGATAAAGCATAAAAGATGCAATTGTACTTGTTGTGGGAAACAATTATGAACTTTTGTTTGTGCCACAATTGATTACTTGTCATGGATCCCACATTTAAGTTAAATGGAATGACGTGAAGCCACTAAATCATTAATAATAAAGTATGTCTTCTTAAATCAAGATGGAATTTAATTAAAAAGGGACCTCAATGTTAGTTTGATCTGCACAATCAAGGAATCTACGTATATGCGACTAGAGGGAATGTGAAAAGAATAATGACTGACCCAGTTTTGGTTTTGGCCCTATTGATTTGTCATACAAAGAGGTTTGTCATCAGTCTGCAGGTGATAGTTGAGGATATATATGCGAGTTGGGAATATGCAAAGAACAGCCTTAAGGATGACAAGTTCCACCACATATTGTACATAAAGTATTTTTTTTGAAAATCTATTAGTGAGGCACTTTTTAAAGTTCACTATAATAGCAAAATAGCGGGTCTCATGGCTTGGCACGGTGTCGTGATTTGCTGTCCAATTGCGGTGAGACAAAAAGTCGCATGATCCAAACAAACACAACAAACCGACATCATTTAAGCACAGGCAGAATAGCCGGACAAAAAAAAGCATCCTCTCTTCCATTAATTAAAGTCCCAATAAGTGACAAAGTAAATAAATGAAAAAAATGGCACCTAACTAATTGTGCGGGCACTTGTGATGCTTTGGAACAAAAGATGACCTGAAGTGATGATGGCGATGGAATTCAGTGACTGGTCATTTCAAATATCTGCTACTTTAAGTCCCTACAAATATCCCGGGGCGTTGAGACCTGAAAGAGCTTCTCAAGAGTTCAAATATAGTTCCCGTGCTCCAATATCGAGGCCATGTCATCGAGTTTGCTTTTGGTGCAAAATAGTGCATGAGTGTTCAAACAATCAACATTGACGCAATCACCCTTTCTGAAAATTCAGCATGTACTTTTAATGACAATAAATTAAATGTGATTGTGCTCCTTTCATTCTGTAAAAGTAATTACATATGAGAGTGTTAGTGTAATGTATTAGCTAGTGTGATGCAAATTATGTACAAGTATGGGGCTGTTTTCAGTTAAAATCTAGCTGGAAAACTCCTAAAAGAAACATAATTTCTACAATCATGGCATTAAAATTTGTAAAAATCCAGATGAGGCTTGATTTGAATATTCCTCTGGTGGGAGTTAAAACCATTTGAACGCTGTGGAGATTAACTCAAGCTGAATTTGTTCAGATTTGTCAATTGAAACGAGAATTTGTCATCAGTCATTTCCTGAGCTGACCAAATTGAAATTAGGACTGACCTGAAGACCTGTGGTTATCCGATATCTTTACAATCATACTGGGTATGGTCAATTGTGATCTCATCTATAAAAAAACAAAACACTGTAGTTCATGTCCTCACAAGACACACACACAAAAAAAAAAAACACTATAGCAAACATAGCATGGCACACCTCCACTATTAAAGTAACAATGCATCCATTTCTGAGGAATATGTTAGAAACAGCATTCGAATAAAAAGAAACATTCTTCGGCATCAGTGTTCATGGTGGTAAATAAAAGGGGACCATCCTTTAAACGAGTGACAGCACAGCGTAGTGATGTGAGGCTGATATAAAAACTGAGAAAGGACAGTCAATAATTCATGCAGACTCAAAGGAAACCCATCCAGAAAAGAAATGTTCAATACAATCTATAAGAAATACTGACGTGTGTCTGTAAACAACGAAAAGAAATACGCTGGGTATATAACATTTGATTTCTGTGTTGCAATAATGGAGTCACTTGTGATTGCATCGTTTGTGGTTTGGCTTGTCAACATGATCATCATCATTGCTGCTGATACTGTAACAGACCTTAAAATGAAATAATAAATCATTTTAGAGATTTTACATTAAAGCTTGACCAATTCCTTAAACGTTATAATGTATGGGGTTAAAAACAATCTGTATTTATCTGTTAACAATCTGTTTATTTTCTAAATTCCCAATTTCTTGTCATAGTTCAAGAATGTGTTGGCTACAGAAGTGTAGACGGTAAAATAGCTTTCTTGTACTGAATGTCTAAACACGTTCCGGTTGAGTGTCTCTCGACTAAAAAAAAAAGAAATAAATTAAAAAGAGTGTCTCGACTCCAGAGCTGCATAACCAATGAGTGAATGATGAACACTGCGGCTTCTCTGCCTGCCTATGGTCCAGTTCAAACAAAAGACACACACAGACTGGAAAAAATTAATGGCTCCTGGTATTTAGGGTATATATAAATATATGTGTGTGTGTGTGTGTGTGTGTGTGTGTGTGTGTGTGTGTGTGTCAACCTGAGTCTATGTGCTACATCACAGAGATTCTGCTCTCCAATCGTAACCTTTGAACCCCTGACCTCTAGAAGCTTAAGGGGAGAAACTGTAAGTGGCTCGATAGATGGTACTTAATCTGCGAAAAGAAACATGGATTTGCTTGTGTGTGCGCGTGTACACAGTATGGATGTCTAGGAGTAAAAAACAGTCCAGGTTCTGTAAATGTTCAGGGTTCTGCTACCACACATAATGCTACACCGTGACTCCAGCAAAGCCAAAAATGTTTTAAGTCTCGGTCCCTAAATAGTAAGAGAAAAAAAATAAAAAATAAAAATAAAATCTCCAAATATCATTACCTTGACTCTGGATGTTTTTTAAAGTTAGCCTCCAAAGCTTTAGATTTATATTCATATATATTTATATACCAATAAAGTACATTACAGATGCCACCCGAAAAATGCAGCCAAACTCAAAACTGTGTCTGAAACCAAGTAAGAAGATGCAACACAGTAAGTATATCTACATATGGGGGGAGGTATGGGAGGAAAAAAGGGGTGATGGGCTGTATTAACAAGACCAATATTACAAAATATTCAAGAAGGCATCTCCGTTATTTTCTCTGACTGCGTTGCCCTGTCCTCCGGGCCGAGGCCTCTGTTCCCTTTTCCTTCGGAGCAGTTCATCCCATCCACAGATCTCATTGTGAGTCTTTTTTTGAAAATCCATCAAATGGGAATGTATGTGTATGTGTATGTGTGTGTGTATGTGTGTGTGTGTGTGTGTGTGTGTGTGTGTGTGTGTGTGTGTGTGTGTGTGTGTGTGTGTGTGTGCGCATTATGCTTGTATAAAGTGTATGCAAACATCCATCCATCCATGGCAGGTGCCTACTTGAAGTTGGCGTAGTCAGAAAAGGCATCAATATACTCCTGGACCACTTTGTAGCAGAACTCGTACTGCTCCTAAGGATGGAGAGGGGACAGGCGAAACAGCCATGTCAGTTTGAAATGCTAACATTACAATTTTTTGAAATCTGTAACATTTCAATTACTAAAATAATTGATGCTTTGTATAGTGGCTTACTTTACAAACTGCAGTACACTTTTGAGTATTGAACCATTATAAAAGTTCCTAAAAACTTGTTCTGCGTTTAGATGTCAAACACAGGAGAATATAACCTAAATTGGAAAAAAAACATTTAAGCAATTAGGACCCATGGGAATCCAAACCCTTTACAAAACATTCAGCTTACATTTAGACTCCATTTTTCTCGCCAAATAAATTGAAACTGATTTCTTAAAGGAATAGTCCATTATTGGCTTTGAGTGTTACAAGGTTCAACATCATTTCTACTCTCATATACAGTAAATTATGTAGCTTAGCATAAAGACGGGAAAAAGGGGGAAAGAACTGTCTTGGGCCTGAACAAAGGCAAACAAAATCCGCCTACCAGCACCTCTAAAGGTCAATCATTAACATGTTGCATCTCTTTTGGGTGGGTTACTAGTCAGACTATTGCTTGGCTGGGACCAGCAACCTCTGCTTGTTACCTGGCAACTGGTCCCGGCCAAGAAATAGTCTAGCACTTTACCCACCTTAACACGGTGAATTGTTTTTACACTTTGGTTTTTCTATGGAATAAACAAACAAAATGTAATGTCTTAATTAGTGGGGCAGGCTAGCTGTTTCCAGTCTGTGTGATTAGCTAAGCTGAGTGGACGCCTGCTCCACCTACATATTTACCATACAGACATGACAGTGGCATCAAACTTCTCGTCTAACTCTTGGCAAGTAAGTGAGTGTGTTTCACAAGATGTTGAACTATTCCTTTAACCGCAAACATACTCCTAGACTCATGCCTTAAACTTTCCACAGTTAAAAACTGTTTAACGACATAAATCCTTTTTTCAAACTGCTACCAAAATGTGATCAGTTTCTCCTTGGCCCACTATTAATGGTAATACCCCAGTTGTTGAAATACCCTATAGTCTCTCTCACACACACACACACACACCAGTGAAAAGACATCCTCAGCACTGGTTATAAATCAAGCTTTTACTGTAGTTTCTCAATCAATGGGTAACATGCATTTTTGAAAAGGGATCATGCCAACTTAAGTAAATGTAAGGCAAGAAAATGTCTCACTTCTTCAACATTACCTTGTCAAAGAGTAACTATTTGCTTTTTGGGAGCTATGACAAAGTAATAATCAAAAGTAATGTACTATTAAGGGCCCACTCACCAGTGTCTGCACCATGTGGGGTCTCTGCAGTCTGAGACTCTTGACTGTCTGGAAGACATCAAGGATGCCCTCTGCCTTCACCCTCTCCAGGACTGTACTCAACGCACAGAAAGTCCCTGTCCGGCCAGCACCAGCACTGTACACACACACAAACACGCTTTGTTGTGAGTGCACATGTAAAGAGAAGGAGCATAGCAACATCTCTGGGAGTAGTTCAAATGTCACAAGGAAGAAGAGAACAATTCTTCTGAACTGTTTTTTCCCCTGTGATTTAACAGCTGCAACAATTTGCCAGACACACACAGGCACACTTGATTGCCAGAAGAATGCCCATGTGCAACAGTAATACAGACAATCAATATAATTAACTTAATATCAAGTGTTTTGTTTCCCATTTTTTCTTACACTGGTACATACAGGTTAAAAGGGCAACATACTGAGGAAAGATGGATGTGTGTGTGTGTGTGTGTGTGTGTGTGTGTCTTACCTGCAGTGCACAGTGATGGGGTGGTTGCCAGACTGCTGCTGTTGTTTCTGCACTGCAGCAATTATGTTGATCATGCCTTTACCGTCTGTGGGGATGCCCACCTCTGGCCAACCATGGAAATGGAACAGACGCACCGCTCGAGCCTTGTTCTCCTGGAAAGACAGAGGAGGGCAAAAAGAAGAGATTAGGATACGTTTCATTATACAGTATTATTGCAAAAACTGTATAACATATATAATCAGTATTAGCTAATCTGAGCTTCAAAAAGCACAACGTTAATCTAAAATATTTTTTACCCTCCAGTGTGTTTGTATTTGGAGCATCTGCTTGATTCATTGAATCCTTTCTTACCCTGTTGTTGGTGACCAGGAGGTCACGCACTGTGTAGCTCTCGCTCTCCTCCTCCCTTTTAATCTCAATGGAGATGTCCCCATAGACCACCACTCCATCACTGGGCCAGTACTGAGCACACTTTTCCTGCATAATGGAGAAGGTCACGCTTAAAGACATGCTATGATTCTGAAAATGTCGATGTCATCTAAATCTGTAGATAGACTTGTACTCTTTGTTGCAGCATTGAACCATCTGAACTACTTGACAGCTAATAATTTACATCACATTTTATCTGACATGACGATATGTTGTGAGACCCCTAAAGATCAAGTCCTTTCGAGCAGATTATCACGATGTTATACAAGACTGGTGGCATCATGTTAGCATTGAGTAAATTATCTAATATCAATATTCTAATTTAGTCAGTTATTGACATGATATCTAATATTAGTGTTTGTATCTGCAGAGATCCCGACTGACACGCACCTGTCCTCTCTCCTCCAGCTCGGTGAGCATGACTATGGAGCAGCTTCTCCACTCCCAGATCATCCTCCAGAAGTCCTCTATGGTGTGCTGCAGGGGGCCCTGGCTCGCCATGTATGAGTCCTTCTGACGGTACCCCTGTGTGAGATAGAGGAGACGGGAGGACGTGATGTCCAGAGGGAAAGGAGAGACTTAAAAAACCTGATCGACTGCTTGGGTTACTGAAATGAAATGGTCCACTCTTATCCAGGTGCTTTTACACTCACATCAATGAAAGAGGCATTGACGTAGTCGGTGTTCTCCTCTCCTCGCTTGACTGGAATGATCACTCTATTGAACTCATCTGTTAGAAGCAAGGAGAAACAGTAACCTTGATTTAAAGCAGAGAGTTGACACGGGGACTACATACGCAATTTTATTATGTCATCATGGCATTCATCACTGTGTGTAGGCACAATAATACTGTATAAACCCACAGCTCATGCCTTTGACTGAAGTGATTCACTCACATGGAATGATCTGTAGGACTCTGTTCTTCTTCATGTTGGCGGGCAGGTTGCCTGTTCTCATCTTGTCATTCTGAATCTTGATGGATGTCAGTTTCTAGAAGTTATGGGATCACAATGTAAGGACTTGTGACATTTCAATATGCCAGATAAACTTCAGCCGCCCATTGTTTTCAACGTCACTGGAATATCGCCGTTTGGATGCAGATGTATGATAACCGAGGGGGTCAAAGAGAATGACTGGAAGAATACAACACACAGACAGACCTTGAATTCAGCCTCCAGACCGCTGCAGCCAGCTCCAGGTGAGGGGGAGTAGAGTTTGGCCAGGTGGGACTCCAGAGAGGTCACCTCCAGCTCTGTGTCTCCGTACAGGTAGTGTTCTAACAACGCCTGGAAGATGAACACATACTGCATCTGTGGGACAAAGAGCACAGGTGAAGTCAAAACATCATGGCACTGAAAACACTGCATCATGGGAGAGAGGGAATTCCTGTGAACGGATGGAGTGTGTCAGCACTGGACTTACATCAGTCTGGACCATCTGACAACGTTGGGCTCGGATTCTGGTGACAAATCCAAACACGTCCACCTTCTTCTCTGCGATCATCATGTCCAACATGGCATCGATCACAATGAAGGTACCTGTCCTCCCCACGCCCGCGCTGACAACAGAAATACAATATGTCGTGATTAGTGTGTGCCGTGCAGACGAAGACACAGAACGAAACGGGCAAAAGTAAGAATGTAAGCTTTGATCCACTTACCTACAATGGACCACAATGGGCCCGGCATACTGGGGGTTACAATTCTTGACTTTCTTGAGGAACTTGAGCATGCCAATTGGGGTGAAGGGCACCCCGAAGTCTGGCCAGCTAGTGAAGTGGAACTGGGTGACGAGCCTCTGAGGCTTCTTCCCAGACACATCTCCCACCTGAGACACAAACAAACCAGGTCATAGAGTGTTTTCATCAGTCAGTAAACTTGACAGCATGTCTCAAGTTTCAAATCTATTATTAATCTATTTTGTGTCAGCAGTGTGTACCCTGATATGTTTAAAAAGGTTTTTGTAGATACACATTACACCAGTTTTTCTTTTGTATTTCGTCACACCAACACACACCAAATCAAACGGAAAGGTTAAGAATAAAACAATTGAATCCTGGGAGCCACATTAATAAAATATTACCTGCTGGATGCAGAACTTGCGGATGGTGTAGTCCACCAGAACCATTGTGTCTTCTACAGACACGCGGATGTTCCCGTATGTCCAACAGCCCTGGTCCGGCCAGTACTGGGCACACTTGCACTGAAACACAGTGAGTGATTTAACATTGAGTACACTCACAAAGCTGTGCACACAAGGGAATAACAGACTCAATGTATGGCAATAGTGGAAATAAAGCACGAGAATATAAATTAAGTTGTGCAAATGAACAACAACAACTCAACTATGTTGCATGTATGACAGAATGAGAAAAAAACTGAAGAGAGATTAAAGTAAAGTCCTCACATAGGGATTCACACAGGGGTTTAAAAAGTGCACTGTTTAACTAATCTCACAGATATAAAATTAAATTTGCTTCTCTTCTTCATGTAATCCCAGACAGACTCGATGATCCAAATATTTCACGGTGAATGACTTTTGACAGTAAACTGTCAGCGTGTTCCTCACCCAGTGGTGTTCCCCCAACACAGCTGTTTTTGTTCCAGTTAATGACTGTGTTTCAACCTACATATTGCATATATGATCATTTAGCACCTGTTGTTTAATGTTTAATCATTCACCTGATGATATGCCTACAAAATCCCTGACTTTGTGCAAGTGTACCTAAAAGAACTGATTCTGCTTAGATTTAGATTTTTCTTCTGTTCCCTCGATTTGTATTTTGTTAATTGATAAATATAATCCATTAACATGTCTATTATTGAAAGCATTCTTACTTGACTGCAAATCTTTCGGCAGGTGTGGAAAAATGCTCTGTATATTCTATACAAAATGCATGTGTGTCCTTTGAAGCTGTTGTGTGACTTTGAAGCTGTTGTGTGACTTTATAAAACACAGTATGAAAACACATAATCATCATCCCTCTTGCTCCAGCTCTCCTACCTCTTTTCTTTCCTTGAGATTGGTCACCATGACAATGGTGGCTGTGTTCTGCTCCCAGATCATCCGCCAGTAGTCATTTACCGTTTCCTCCTTCGGCCCTGAGAGGCCGAGATGGATACAGAAACTCAGAAGATATGTAATAAGCTAATAATCAGGTAAATAAATGACAGCACGGTTTTTCTGTTGCCAGTGCGGGTGCAAACGTTACCTTGAGCTGCAATAAACTTATTCTTCTCTTGGTAACCCTGCAAAATAAAGACGTCAAGAAGAGACATTAGGATAAGAAAAAATATCGATCCATCATATCTGGAGCAGAACTGTTTCTTTTGTGGAAAACATGCTGCATTTATACAAACATTTATAAAGGAGGCGTTGATGAAGTCAGAGTCGGGGACTCCCTCCAGAGATGAAAGATGCACCCTGGAGTGATCGTCTGAGAGAAAAGGCAAGAGAAGAAGGCGCACAGTAAGACAGGGAATTTTAATTATACATGGTAAATTACAGTTTTTTCATCCTGACCAAGCATAACTGAGTAAATCACATTGTGATCCGTCTTTTGATTGTCTGCTGTCTGATATTTACTGTGATTGCATTGATAAATATTTCTAAAGGCTTGAAATAGCAGATAAGAACTCAGTTACACTGAGTGCTGCTTTGTTAGTGTCAGTCACTGTCACAGTGTCAGGGTTCTGCTGTTGCTCACATGGCAGGATGTTGACATATCTGTTCTTTTCTTTATTTTCTTCCTTGGAAGCAGCGTCACATGATGCCTGGATCGGGCAGACTGGCAGTGCCTAAACACACCGAAAAACAAACAAATTTAGATAGCAGGGAGGAAGAGAAGACAGATGGTTATTAGTTTAAAACCTCCCTGTGTGACCCTGCACATAATTTCCTGCTAGCTTTATCTTTTTGTCTGCTGTGTGTCCATTTTGTCTGAATGTGCTACTGCAATAGGCTGATTATCTGACAAATGCAATAAATATAAGACATGTCTGATAACATCACGGAAGCTCCTGAACTTTGTGGATGTTTTGATGGGAAGGTTTGCGTCTTCATTAATTTCATTTAAATGAAACAATCTTAAGTACTTTTTGTTTATTTTACCCAGCTGTGAGAGGTGACTATAAGTGGATGACAACAAGTAGACACTATTCACATCCATTTCAGCAATACGCCGCCAACTGTGTGAGAACATGTCAAAACTAACCACTGTGTACCGGCAGTGGCACTATTCAGGCCAATAATTCCCAACCTTCCCACATCCCTTTGAGATGATCTTTAGTTCCCCTTCATCTGCACCACCTGTCATCCAAATGTGTGCACTTCCATTGATTTTGAAGTGGATGTTACGTAACACTACAAAAAGTAGATATTATTACAACACTTTTTTTCATTCAATTGTATTTTCAATGTTTAGATCGGTTTAGTCAAGTCTGCATTCGTACAACTTCCACTTGGAGTGGCAAAAGCTGGTTCTTTCAACGTTATTCAGTACCTGTTTATCCATTACTTTCAGCTTACTACTTCTCTGTTACCTTGCTTGTTTCAATACACTCTCCATAGCAACAAGTGGCTTTCAGATAATCCCTTCTGGATGGTTATTTTCCTCTTAATAAAAAAAAAAAAATTGTGTTTTAAATCAGACGTTCTATTTTTATTTTCTTTCAAATTAGCTGAGGTACACCATAATCTTTCCAAGTATCCCCAGGCAACTGAAATACCCCCTGGCTACAAGTACCCGTGGCTAGGGAATCACTTATTTAGGCTACAGCGATTTGAGTTAAAGGTGAATATCAGGCTCAGAATGTTATCAGAAGGTGTGTGCTTGAGTGTGCCATACATTAAACTCCTCCCTGAAGAGCTTGTTGTCATCAGCCATGCGACGATTCATTTCTTCCTCCAGCTTGTCGACGGGAAGAGGCGGGTATTTCCTGTTTGTGCTGGGCGAACGGGCCAATAGCGGGACGCTCTGGAGTTCTGCGCCGCCGAGCAGGAAGGGAGGAGGCAGGAGTAAGGAGAGGAGGGAAGGAAATGGAGGGGAGAGACAGGTGGCGATAAAGACATGGGAGAAGAGGGTGAGAAAAAGAGTTGAATCGTCTTCCATCAAGCAACCGACTTCATCATTAGATGTCGTCACTAAAAATGCCCACCAGAGGGCGATGTGATTCAACACTGTGAAATCAAAGGGAGCTGGCTGCAGCCCTGTGGTTAGGTAATCACAGTGAACAAAAGCCTTCTGCCAACAGTCAAACAGTGAAATGTTATCTATCAGAGAAGAAAGATCAATCAAGTCTTATCAGAAACAGCTCACAGTCACAAAGTCAACTTATTTGCTGATATGACCCAAAATAAATAAAGAATTGTGAGTATGCAGTCACATCTGCAGACCACACGCACACACATACAAACATTAATGCATGTGTGGGTGTTTTACCTGTATCATCTGATCTACCATTGGTCAGTCTGAAGGAGTTTGAATGGCTTCCCGCCTGCTTGTACTTTTTAAACCTGTCAATCAACACAGATCAAAGTGCATATTAATACACTGGGATACACACACAGTCAGTCAGTCTCTCTCTCTCTCTCAAAAAAAAAACAAAAACGTGTTGCTTTAGTCTCACAGCTGAATGCCAATCAGCCATTGCCATGGTAACGGGAGCACCTTGGGCATTCTCCACAGGTATCTAGCTAGTGTGCCACGTCAAATGCACTTCACCAACCTGAGCATGTAGAGGATGATGATGATGAAGATGATGACTAGCAGGGAGGACAGGGCCACCATGACCGCTATGATTGGCATGTCATCAGACTGGTTGTTGTCTACATCAGAGACAGAAACAAAAGAGAGAATAAATGGTTTGCACTACCATGCACAAAAATCAAAAAAGGTGTCTCAATACTGGAGCTGAGTCAGTGTTTTGGTTCGACAATGATGCCAAATTCCATTGCCATTACCAAATTACTCTCATATTGCACAAACGCTTGGGTATTTTATGTAAAATGATGTTTTATTAGCACACATTTTATCAAGAAATTATAAAATGTATAAAACCCTCTTAAGGATTTTACATATTATTAACTGTTTGTTTAATCCGTGCAAAAAACAGAATCAAAGGCAGTCGGTGTGTGCAGCCAAGAAATAGTGTAGCGTAAAACCACAACAGAACAAGATATAACTTTTTAATAGGTGAGCTTAAGAGGTGCTGATATTTTGTTTGCAGACTTCGTTACCTTCGGACAGAGCCAGGCTAGCTGTTTCGCGCCATTTCAGCTTTATGCTAAGCTAAGCTAACCTGCAGCTTGCTGTATCTTATATTTAACGTGCATATTTGAAAGTAGTATGCAAATTACTTATTCTGTCGATCGACTCATCATTTAATCTACTTGTACTACTTCTACTGAAATGAATTTCTAGTGGTCTCAAAAATGCAGTTTTAATTTAGGTTCAGACAAGACAGATGTTCAGAATGTGGGGGGAAAAAAGCCACCATCGTGACCTCTGCCTCTTTCAACACACACACACACACACACGCGCAACAGGCTGTCCTTCGGAGCAAGCAGATGAAATCACAGTTTAACTGAGAGGGCAGACCCTTAGCTTCTGTAACTGGTTATATCCAAGATGACAGCAGGCACAAGGCTATGGTATAAAATACTGAAACATTCAGCATGTTTGCTGCAAATTAAATATGAATTAATTAGAGTATAAACGTTACACTTTCTACATGTCATAAACCAGAGAGCATGGGGGCCTACTGTGATGCTACTGACAGCATTGAGGTCACATAGGCTCAACATCATAAATTATTACAAGGACCACGTTATCTATTCTTTGTAATAACTCTTATAGATTACAATAGTTGACCAATTTGTATATGTTTCCACCATGTGCATGAGTTACTTGTTAAAGCCTATAGTCTTCCTGGTGACCTTTTACTGCCGCAGTTAACACAAAAGACAAGCGATTTGCCTGAACAACAACAACAAGAGTTTGGTGTACAAAAAAACTGGCTGCCATTTGTGTGCTGGTGACTGGTCTGTAAGACACATTAGGCCACAACAATAGAAGAGATTTTTCTAGAAAACTGCACAGCAGTGGCGACAACAATGCAATGACAAAATCAGCTGTTCCATGGACTGACTCAAAGTTCAAGAAAGCTCTTAATGTTACGTACAAAATATGCAGCAAAGAATGCATCATTTGACTTCATGCTCAATATGCACTTTCTGCGGGAAAGCAGTTTGGAATGCCGCCCAGTTCTGTTGCATTTTCACACACAGTTCCCAGGACTTTTCAGTGTTCTCCCTCAAACAATGTGTACATTGAACAGAGTGGGAGCACAACAGGCTGTGGGTCTCATGTGGAACTGACACAGACTTTATGGATCCAATGCCATCTAGAACTGCTCTCCACACAAGGTCAATAGACAGCCAGAGGGAGCAATTAAATAACACCTACGGACCCAAAGTGATTATGTTTTACAGTATACATACCATACAGATGTAATGTATGAAGGCACATCTGTTGTATTATGTGGACCAGGAGTGTATAATGCTTCTCTGAACTTCTACAGCCTCCGCTCAAGTTTTCAAATACACACTGTGTATGTGTTTTTGTACCAAACCAGTTTCAAATCATGTTTTACCTAATGCAGGACAATACAGAACAAGCCTGCTGTTATAACACTATATAATAAAAAAAGATCTTTCCAAATCAATCAGTGACATTTGATAGTGATTTGCGTACTTCTCTATAATCATGTAACATGAATAATTAATGTAAAAGAAAAGGGTGGGGGGAGTCATGTTTCACCTACAAGGATATTACTAGGATGGTCTGTACACAGACAGAAAGCTGCTTAAAAAATGAAGCTGGATAACACTTTAAATTTCAAGTATTTTCTTCATATTGAATGTCTTAAAGTAAATTTCGATGCTAAACATAAAAGCATCAAAAGACAGACAAAGTCTGAGGCGTCTTGTTTGGTGGTCCTCTTGATTCCTGTGGATGACTGGTCAAATGTAGGTATGTCACGTCAGGATATTTCCAGCGCTGCTACAAAAGGAGTTTAAAAGCAGAAAAATGTTCAACACTCTAAAATATTAAAAGGTCGACTCTTGACCAGAAAGCTCGTCTGCTGGCTCATTCTAGCTGTTGCTACTGCGTTGCCAGCACTGCATGAATAACACACAGCCAGATGCAACAACCAAAAACATCCTGACTCTCTTATTTGGTTCTGCAGAATGCCATCGATCTGTGATGTCCATGTACTCCAGGGCTTATTCAAATGAAGCTTTGTTTTCTCAGGGCGGATTCACACCTAAAAGGTCTGGTTCCTGAATCCAACCACTGCGAGGATGATTTCCAGTTTTCCAGCTGGTCCAGTTTGCCATCGCAAAAGGTTTGGTTCAACCGGACTACACACGGTCAGTGTGAACCCGCCCTTATTTCCAAATTCTCCTTTTGTCCTTTGCTATTTTAGTTAGGCCTTGTTCACATGTAAAATGTGTCTTGTTAAAGTGTGTCTTATCTAAAGGCAAGTGGGGGCTCTAAATACAGGCCTGCATGCACCCAAAATGCATTTCAGGAGACACACATTATCGCACATTAAAGGACCATCCAGTCATCCTCATAGTGCGTGCAAAGCAGGAAAAACCTCTGTCACTGGCAGATCAACCGTATACAGATGTGTCAAACAACTTGGATAAGGTTTAAAAATATGCACCTGAAGCAAAGTACTGAACAGCCACGGCAGAACAGTCACTAAGTCTATTTTTTCTGTTTACCAGCAACTGCAGTTTTGCCACACATAAAAACAAATGTGAGCAACAAAGACAAATCTCATCATGCCACGATCCACAGATACCTGGGTCTGAGAAGTGATTTCCCACTCTTCTTTGAACTGCAGAGAATGTGAGAATGGAAACTTTTTACATCCAGCTGTGAGTTTTGTGCACAGACAGACCGAGTGAAAGAAGTACCCAGGCCATGGTAAGTGGGTGCGTTTCCATTCAAGATAAAATGAGTCACAGCCCCTCTAATCATCAGTCATCTTGTCTTGTTGCTTCATGGCATTCTGGCCTATTGAGGCTACTGTTAGTAGAGTACCTGTGTCTTCTGTCAGTTGTCCCTGTACGGCTGTAGAAAGGTGCTGTGCAATTATAATAGGTTGAGACCACGTTCCTTGCTCTGTAACTATGGGGATGGTGCCTCAGGAGGGTTTTGCCTCAAAAGTAGTTTTATTTTCACACTAAACAAGCAGACACGCAGTGCTCTGAATATGCAACAACACTCACCATGTGGGCTGTTGTTTGAGGTGAAATCCATCCCAGGTTCTGTGGTGGTTTCTGTCTCTACAGGGTATTTATACTCCTCACCATTGGTCTCTGGAGTTGGGGTGTCTAGGTCTAAGGCTGCGGTCCCGTTGTCTCCCCCAGCCGGGGTGGGAATAGGGGGAGGCTCTGTGCTCGGTGGTGCCTGAAGGGCATCAGTTGGAGCTGCAGGTGGGGCAGCGGGGACTGGTAACGCCTGCATAGTGGCATTGGGACCCGCCAGTTGCACGTCCTCCTCACCAGCTGGGCTTGTGGTTGTTGTTATTGTTGTTGTTGTCGTCGTCACCGGGATGACTGTGGGGGCGAGCGTTGTGGGTGGGCTTGTGGGGGCTTGTGTGCGTGCGACTGTAAAGTTGAGGGAGGGTGCGGCGGGGAGGTCTGTGGGTTTGGCATCGGCTTTGGGAGGATCTGGAAAGAAGACGACGGACAATTATTGTGCAATTTGTCACTGTGAGACTTTTAATCTAAGACGGTGAGTAAGCAAAGGAATTTGATTTAAGTGGACATGGTTCATACCTGGGATGGAGACATGATCCTGGGCTGAGGCCCCAAGGGCTAGACCGAGCAGCAGGAGCAGGGGACACACACCCATTCTGCCCTACATGGAGGATGCACAACAAAAGGGACAAGAGGGCATTAGTGAAAAACAACCTCAGATCTCACTGAAATCAATAATAAATGATAATTTTTTCATTAAGATAAAGAGATTCATGTGTTGCATAATCACTATATATTTGTTTTATCTTCTATCCTAATCCCACATGCTCATTTTTGGAAGGTAATGCCCTTAAATTTGAAAATGAAATACTTGCATAATGTTAGCCTGTTTGTTTGTAAAATGCTGTTTACCTGAAGACGCGAAGTTGGCATCAATCACTCATTCGCACAGCGTGGTCCTAGAAAGCAAGAGAGAACATTTGGCATGACTTAGACGACTCATTACTTTCTTGTGCTTGAACTGTCTAGACAATATATAATTTATTTAAGAAAACTTTATTCTTGCCAAATGCTCTTTCAAGATCAGTGTTAGAATTCTTAATGCAGGACACACAGACAGAAGTATCTGGCCTATTCAGGTGTGAAGACCTCTTTGAGTATTTCCTCAAATTTAATATTAGGACTTGGCAATAATTCAACATTGTCATTTGGTGACTTCCTGTGGAATCACACCACGTTGATATGCTCATATCATGTTTTCATTTTACAAAATTAAATGATTCCAAGGAAACTAATTAGTTAGAAATTAAAAAAATGCCATTATATTGAATCCAACTATATTGCCCAGCTCTTCATACGTTTCTCTTTCTGCAACAGGATTTCATCTCAAAAACGTGTTAGTCCAAACAAACATTTGATACATTCATCACCCGGAGCATGACCAAAACTGAATTAGCATCACATTTAAATTCCTGCGGTGACGGTGAATCAGCACTTAGGACACTTCACCCGCTGATTTGGGGATGAGCGAGAACAGACAGAGAAAGCACAACGGAGGCTGGGTGGTCGGCCTGGCTGAGTCTTTTGTTTAATCTCGGGAGCCAACAAGGCTGTTGTCTCCCTGACTGAGCTGTGATAATCCCTGGACCTAATCCCATGGTCCTGACCCTGGAATAATCCAGCACGTCTGCCTCAGTTTACAGAGATCCTTCAACCACTGCACCGAGCCAAACACCGCAGCGCTACCACACAAAAACTGATGCTTTACATCAGGCTTCATTGCCCCAGTGGGCAGAGGATAACTCGGGTGCTAAAAGCTCCAGTGCCAGTTGCCAATCTTCTGGTGTTTTGAAGTGAGCCTATTCACTGCAGTGCTTACATTCTGGTTTTAGCACAGTGCTGTTTCGCTCTGACTGAAGCCTGAAATGGGCCATGATGAGCAAATTATGTTGTCAATGAGGATGCTATTAACCTACAAATCCAATTGTTGCTGTCCCTTTCTCCCTCTCTCACCAATCCATGCATCCACTTAGCCAGGAAATGTCTGCTACCAAAAAACAATTCGTGCTTTCGGAAAAACAGACAATAAAAAGAGAGATTTTAGTACAATTATCAAAATCATTTTGCTACAAAAAGCAGTTTGGTACACACTTAGGGCACTTTGGAATAGGCTCTTTTTTTTGAGAAATAAGGGCAGGAGCTGTCCCTGTTCTATTCATAGACATATTTCTAAATTTGACAGGAAGGCCTTGCATCAAAACTTTCTCTCTTTACTTTACAGATGGCAGAATTTGGAGAGCTGGAAATTGATTAATCGAATAATCATTGCAGCTGAAATTATGTCTTAACCAACCGAAAGACAAAGAAAAACAGCCTTTACACACCTTTGGCACTTTTCACAGTTTCCTGATAAGATGCGGGCACATTGTTATTCTGGCCAAACAGTATTTCATCAAAACCACATCACAACCCTGAAACCCTACCGCTACTATCCTCTCCTTCAGCACTCATTAAGAGGAGTGACTCAGCTGTAACGAGCTCAGTGATTAGTACCATTTTGTGTGAATTAGCGTTTTACAGCATCTGTCTCAGTGTGTATAAGGTTAAATTCAACATGACAGATGGGTATGCTCACATCAACATGCTTCTTTCTTCTTTTAAAGTAACCTTTTCTTAATGAAGCATGACTCATTGTTTCTGCGTGCCATCCAGGGAGGCTGGATGACGTGTCACTGTGTTGGTGTAAATGATATAAGCTGGCCCTGTTGCTAACCTTCACTTCACAGCTGCAGGAGCCCGGAGAGGCTTTCATCTAGAGAGCGTGTACGCCGAAGAGTACAACTCCCCAGAGATGCTTCTTAAATGTGTTTTGGCCTCCAGAGACCAGAGTGTGTGTGTGTGTGTGTGTGTGTGTGTGTGTGTGTGTGTGTGTGTGTGTGTGTGTGTGTGTACATGCAATTGTTTTTTCAACAGACTTAAGTGTTGGTAGAGGACATCATTAATTTAAGAGGTACTGGGCAAGTGCTTCTGTGTGTGCCACTTTTAGATTTTTTGCCCTCTATTAAAAAGATACTCTGGATGATGGGTTGGTGTTTTTCACACTTGAATGATGAAAGGATGCAGGAGACATTGCAAAGAAGCTATTAGCTTCCAATTATTTGGCTGTATGTGTAACTACATTATCATACAGGCTAGTGTCCTAATCAGGCTCCAATAATGTATGGCTCCAAGATACAGCTCACTAACTCACATATTTGACTGATAAAGCACTTTTCTTCTTTATTCTGTTTTCGTACAATCCAGTATCCTACTCTGTGTGGTGATACAGCCAAATGTAAAAAAAAAAAAAAGGAGTGTAAATATCTTTCCAACAGTTTCATCACGCTATTCGCTGCAGAGGAAACGTGTACATGCCCTTCTATTAGTGAATCAATGTACCGAAAGGTAGTCATCCAGCTCATGCTCTCCTGACTCTGGCTTGTGTTGTGCAACCATGTGAATATCTTTCAGACAAAGCAGAGCACATAGAGCGAGCCATTTAAAACAGACGCCATAGGGATGAGCTGCCCTCCGGTGAAGTGCGAAACTGCCACAGCTTTAAGACTATGACAAGCAAAAAACATACATAGTTTGACTGGAGGGAGTAAAAAAAACACATAACACAAAAATGTGACGTGAAGTTTGATTCCTTTTTGATGGAAATCAAAACTTACTATGCTTCCTTTCTTTTCCAGTTTCTCCTTAGTATTAGTATAGGCTTTGTAACTGTCTGGACATGTTTAATTCAGATGTTTCTGGAAACATTTATTATTATTTGAGTTCATACAGCCATTAAAAATATGTTAATAGAAGATGTGTTTAAAACGTGGAATTTTAAAATAATGGTTAGTTTAAAATGTAGAGCTCTTTATGAAAGATAACAGAGTGTAATGGGTCACATGACCAGAGTTTAGATGAGGGCATAAACATGGCATTATGGGTGAGAGCCAACACGGATGCAGAGGAACGACATAAAGCCCCAAAATAACAATATTTTGCACTTGGTTCAACAGACGCACACGGTAATGGCCTTTCATGTGCCTTTACACTGACAATGTGATACTTCCTTTTAGCAATTTAACTTGATTTCATCACATTTGAGTTGCGCTAACGTTTTTGGGCCTGTCTATTAACTAGATTTGAAGCTTTTACGTCTTTTATTTTCTTGTCCTTTCTTATATGTCTTTTCGCGAGTCTGCTGACAAAAGAGAGAAAGACAAAATAAATCTTCAAAAGACATGTATGATGCATGGCCTTTATTTTATGGGAGCAGCGTAGTTAGAGGTTTACTTGCAGTATCAATACCTACTACATAGGCTTGTATAACATTCACACTTACCAAAGTGAGCGTCCTCACTTTCGTAAGTGTAAATGTTATAACACAATAGTTCACCTTGACTTGAGTTATTGGATAGGTTGACTTAGGAAATCAGGAATCAGCAGAGTATGTCTGGTCTTAAAGTGAGGCTAGGTAAATTTTGTTAAACCTCAATTAGTAGCAATTTTGGACTAATTGTAAATACTAAAACGTAGTGTAAATTTAGCACACGTGAGAAAAGTCATAAGCTGGCAAACTGATTCAATAACATGGTTTACACAACAATATTTATGTAATGTTTGCTAACATTTGCCACCATGAGCTCCTGGTCATACCAGACCAAGTAAGACAGTTGCAGTAAAACTGTGTATTACATTGAGCAGGAGTGTGTTTTTATTTCTTACTTAATTTTAACGTTTCATTTTTTGGTGGAAGGAAGTTGCTTTATCTCCTTTCAAAAGTTGCAAAGTAACTGTTGTTACAGAGGTTTATCAAGTAATTTTGTTTCCTCAATTTGAACCTACTTTCTCCGATTACACTAGATCAAATATGTCAATTAGGTAACGTCTGCTTGAGATAAACACATTCTGGTAATTTTGCTAAATCTTTCTTAGTAACACAAAGATAAATACAGAACAAAAAATAAAAGCAAAAGGATAAAATCAATTACAGAAACTAGAATCATGTTTGTATATACGTGGGGTATACATGTACCCAATAAACAGTTCATTATGGAATCTCGTATCTAGTCATGCAAGACAACATACTGAATCAAAATCTTTCTTAGTTTGTGTGTCACAGTCACCACCATTGTGCAGAACCCAATGCTTAGTGTGCACGAGAGTGGTGAGCGCGACCAACTAATGAAGACAGTTGCTTCTCCGCCTGTGGCCAACTGCAGACCTCATAGGCGTGCAATCACACAGTTGCGAAAGGGCTGGGCTGTTCCCATGCCATTTCATTCACACAGTGAAAGGAACTCTTATAGGTGGAATATAAAGGAAGTCCAATTACATCTCCATGACAACCAAAGACCAAGACATAAGATCACTGTAAGGTAGTCATTTAATATGGAGAGTTCCCACTGAAGTCTACGGATTTCACTGATGCTTTTGTATTTACCTGTGACTTTAGGTGGAGTAATAAGTACCTTTTCTGACTGCACAATCTCTTTACAAACCAGATCTCACAGGGGGAAAAAAATAGTCCTTTAAATAGCTGCAGCTATTTCCTCAGTTTATTATGTATTGTCTCATCTACATTTCAGAGAATCTCAATGACAGATGTGGCCCAAAAAAATTCAGCTACTAAAACTGCAGGAATCCTCAATTTTTAGTGTTATTCTTAAAAATCAACAAATCTCATTAATCATTCACAGAGAATACCCCAAGGCAAGTGAGTGGGCTAAAAATCCAACAGACACAAACACCATACCGGCCTCGCTGATATGACACCAGCAGTGGTGGTCGTGGTCAAGGATACTTCACCATTCATGCAGAGAAATATTTCCCTCTGGCTTTCTACAAGGCATCCTGCCTCTCTAGCCGCTGCAGTGCTAGATAATGCTAGTCTGTCTGTCTCCATTCATGGCATATTAATACTGTTTCTATGTCTCAAGAGGG